ATCAATACATAGTATAAAACAAAGTCGCTTTCGCTGTATGTCCGTATGTATGCTTAGATCTTTAAAACTACGCAACGGATTTTGATGCGGTTTTTTTTAATAGATAGAGTGATTCTTAAGGAAGGTTTGTATGTATATACATATTGCACCCGTGCGAAGCCGGGGCGGGTCGCTAGTACAAAATAAAAAAAAGGCTGTCTGTAAAAATATCTTTATTACGCAAAATGTATACAAGTATACATTAAGTGATTAACTTATATATCTATGCAAGTTGTACCAATCTTACAATTACATTGTTCTTACAGAGCATAGGAGAGCCAGGTACTCAGATGACTTTGAAAACATTCCACTTCGCTGGAGTAGCCTCCATGAACATCACGCAGGGAGTGCCCAGGGTCAAGGAGATCATCAACGCATCCCGCAACATCTCCACTCCCATTATCACCGCCGAGCTGATGCAGCCAACAGACCAGGAGTTTGCCAGGAGAGTCAAGGGCAGGATTGAGAAGACCACGCTTGGAGAGGTTCGTTAAATTTTAACGTAGATGTTTTTAAAAGATGTATGTCATGGATGTTAAAGGTAAAGCTGCTTTTGAAGGAGGGGGGGGGGGGAGAACACAGCCTTCTATAACAGACGATTTGATTTGATTTGAAAAACATTACTAGTCAAAATCCTTTCTCCATTCTTCATTCGCACGGAACTATTGAAAAAGATTAAGCGTCTTCAACGTTCTTTAAAAGGTTTTCAACTCTTTCGTTTTGTAATAAAGTCGAAAATCGTTTGTTTGGCTACTGACTATCTCGGCAGAATTCAATTGGGCCTCCGGTAACCTCACTCACACGATGAAACACGACGCAAGCGATGTGTCACGTCGGTTTTCTGTAAGGCCGTGGTGTCACTGTCGACTGCCAGGTCGTGACTATTGGCTTTAGCATGTACAGTAGCTCTTAGAGTATTAGGAAGCACAGAGTCTGGTATAGAGTGATGTATTTATAACCCTGTAATGTCCTCAGATCACGACGTACATAGACGAGATGTACCTGGCCAACGAGTGCTTCCTGCTCGTCCGCCTGGACGCTGAGAGGATCCGACTGCTCTGTCTAGAAGTCAACGTCGAGTCCATCGTGTACTCGTAAGTAAACACTGTTTTATACAAGAATTTGACATGAAGCATAAAAAGTTTTTGGAAATCGCGTCACAAATGGCGGAGTAATCGGTGAACAAACTAAAGAAAACAATCATCCGAACATAGTACCTCCTCCCTTTTTTGAAGTCGGTGAAAATTAAATGATTAATCATTGAGACTAGAATATTCTTCTGATAAAATTCCTGTTATTTCTTTGATATATTTTTTCCGTTTTACTCGTAATCGATGGCGCAACTATACAGTGTTTCTACATGGTCCACAACGCGATTATGATACCTCTAGTAGTCTAGTGTACTTAGCCTCTGTCTGCTTACCATGATGCGCTACCAATAGCAGTATAAAGAATATATTTATAAAAAAACATTTATTTTAATTACGCTTACGACTCACATGCCTCGACTAATTTCGAGCTACAACGGGGCTCATAAATTAGTCAACTACTGAAAAATTACAATTTTTTCACCAGAATATGCACATCGAAGCTCAAAATAAAGCCGGCGAACATCCACATAGTATCAGACTGGGCTATAAAGGTGTCAGCCGAGCCGAGCAAGCAGGGCGGCTGGCTGAACCTGTCGCTGCAGCAGTTGGCGCGCCAGCTGCCGGCAGTCGTCGTCAAAGGCCTGCCGCAGGTCGCCAGGGCTGTCATCGCATGCAATGATACGGATACTGTGCCCACGTAAGTATCTCATAATAATCTTATACTATTAAATAAATCTAAAGAGTTTGTTTTTTGTTTGTTTGTTTGAACGCGCTAATCTCCGTAACTGTCTGATATGAATAATCCTTTTTGTGTTGATAGCGCATTTATCGAGGATGGCTATAGGCCATAAAATATCACGCTACAACCAATAGGAGCTGAGCAGAGCGTGTGAAACCGCGGAAGTAGCTAGTAAAATATAAACTTTAAAGTACAAATGTGAACAATGCTGCCTTTACATTTGCTAAACGTGAACTGCCGCTTGGACTACTGAAGTTTTATTTTATTTTTTTTAAAAACGTTGGCCCACACTTTCTCCTGTGTCATGGGTGCGTTCACAAATATGCAAGTTCACATACACATAACAACCAGACCCGAAACAACAATTTGTGGGTCACACAAAGTGTTGTTCCGTGCGAAAATCGAACCTGCGACCGATTGCCCGGAAACCGGGCCAACCGTGCAGTCTCGTCGTGCAGTCAACAAAATATTTCTATAAACAACTTCCGAACATAAATAACCGCGCTGTAACTGTGTTATATACTGTTGTATGTCGCCCATTTAAAGCTATATTTACATGATATTCAAATCACTTGAATCATTTTCTGAATTTTCTTGCAAAACAAGTATATGAACTTATGTTAAACTAGCTGTTGCATACGACTCTGTCCGCGTAGAATATGAATTTTAGAACATAATTTTATTTTGGTTCAATTTTCCAAAATAAAAGTAGCCTATGTTAGTACATCCTACCTGCCAATAACAGTCAAAATCGGCTCCGCCATTTTAGAGACCGACAAAAATGTAAAGAAATATATTTTGGTATGTGTATCGTATGTATATTCATATGCATGCAGTAAAAACCGGTTATTTTAATATTACAAACAGACACTCCAATTTTATTTATCTGTATAGATTGATGTAATCAGACATATTTTGAATTAAACAATGTTTTCATTATAGTTACAAGCTGTGCGTGGAAGGAGACGGACTGCGTGACGTCATCGCCACGTACGGAGTCGATGGCACCAAGACCACCTCCAACAATATACTCGAGGTAACACTATGTTCATTACAAATTAATTGGGTACTCGCCAACTAGTCAAATTCTATACTTTTTTCGAACTGTCAATAACGAGAGTTTTCTATGAATTTTGTACGAGATTGTGTATTGTGACGTCACGTTTTTTTAGCGTCAAACAGCATATGTACTTATTTCTCAAAAAATTGCTGGAAATATAAATTAAGTTGGTCATAAAATCAATTAATGAAAGAGTGATTCTTTATTTACATTTTATTGTATTGAACAGTCGAAAGAAATTATTTTTGATTAAAAAAGTAATCCAATAAATTACATAAAAAAATCAGCTGGCCTGTCCTCTAGTGAAGCTATTTGCTCCTTGCAAAGTACAGTCAGTTGACGCTGCCATGCCATCGTTAACTTTGTTCAATGCGCCTACAGTTTATGATTATGAAACCCGATGTGTTTCGAAACTAATCGAGCATCCTCGAAAAACTTAAATTAGGTAAATTATTAATAATGTTATTATGATCTTGTCCAGGTATTCCACACGCTAGGCATAGAGGCTGCGAAGTCTACCATCATCAGTGAGATCCAGGCCGTGATGGAAGGCCACGGTATGAGCGTGGACCGACGCCACGTGGAGCTCCTGGCCGGACAGATGACTGCAAGGGGCGAAGTCTTGGGTATCACCAGATACGGCCTCGCCAGGATGAAGGAATCCGTACTTAACCTGGCTAGTGTGAGTAGCTATTTGGAATATTTCGCTTTTAATGCTGCTTTTGGCTCAGTGGTTCATTGTATTGTATTGTATTGAAAGATTTAGATGGTTGGGAGCACCTTAATGATTTAGTGTCTTTCAACATCTGAACATGGGCCTCCGCCAATGACTTTTGTTTATGGAATAAGCCGGTATACACGCAGACGGATCACCTGATGGTAAGCAATCGGCGTCGCCCATGGACACTTGGAACACCAGAGGCGTTACAAGTGCGTTACCGGTCTTTTGAGGATAGGAATTCGAGAATTGTTGGAGGTTCAGGGATTGGGGAGATTGGGGAAAAGGGAATTAGGGAGATTGGGGAAAAGGGTAATTTGGCTTACGGTAACCTCACTAACACGACGAAACATAACATAAGCGTTGTTTTACGTCGGTTTTCTGTGAGGCCGTGGTATCACTCCGGTCGAGCCGGCCCATTCGAGGCAGTTGTATAAAATAGGCCAGTAAACTTCCAGATAGGCCGGTTGGAAGCGACTTGCATCCATGCTCCCTGCGATCTTCATACTAGTTTTTACCACTGAATAATTTGCAACCTAATTATACAAAAATAAAACTTAATTTCTTACCTGACCGAGATCGTGACGTTATCGCGAATAGCTCTCTAATTGGTCAATGAACCTGGCCAATCAGAGCGCCGAACGTCATAAACGCGTTGAAGACGTTAAATGTTAAAAATATTCGTGCTAAGTTCTCAGCAGAATTACAACAATATTAACTTATATATTTCCAACAGTTTGAAAAAACAGCGGATCACCTATTCGACGCGGCTTACTACGGCCAGACAGATTGTATAGAGGGGGTCTCAGAGTCCATCATACTCGGGGTCCCAGCGGCCATCGGGACCGGAGTCCTGCAGCTCCTGCACCAGCACCCGAGGGCAGAGCCCCCGCAACCCCGGGAACTACTCTTCGACAGACCAGAGCTCCACTCCTCGATATGGGAATAACCCATAATCCCTGGCCGTAGACGCAGTTCTTCGACCAGAGTTCCCGTCAAGAAGTAATTTAAATTTGTACCTTCTTGATTTGTGTATAAGACTGGAAATCATTTGATTGTTTGTTAAATGTTAGTATTTGATTGGGTGCTTTGTTACTCAGCTCTTATAGTTAGGAAGCGGATTAGGAGATTCTTAAATACTTATTTAGTGATGGTAATAAGTGTTTGATCTTTATAGAAAGCTTATTAATAACAGTATACAAAACTCTACAATACATGAAATATTCATTTTAAATATATATTTTCTTTTTACTCCGTCCTGTTTCCTTTTTCTATCTCAAAATCCGCCATCTTACAAAATTGCATTTTTCTCAAACCCTAAGATGACGTTACTGTCTCATTAAAATGTTCAAATGATTTAACTCAAATAATGACATTGTATATAAAGTATACTATATTAATTTTAAGTTGTGCTGTAATGTTAATTATTATTATTGTAACTTTAAACTTAACAGTGGATATATTTGATTAGTTTGCAAAGCTGGCAACACTGCCGATATTGCCAGCTCTATTATATAAATGTTATTATACTTTTTCTGTACTGTATATATGTATTATATAGTTGTTATTGGAAAAAGTATATTTTTAATAAATACAAGGTTGGATCTAGGATACATTCATTTAACAATAATTCTAGTTTTATAATTTCATACATGTAATTTAACATAAAAAGTACTATAATTAAATAAGTACTATGATTTGCCGTTGTACAGACCCTAGAAGCCAACTACTATTGTTCGTTAACACATTTTGTGCTTTATTTACACAAAAATAAGGTTGTAAATCCGTTAAAGTAACCATGTTTGTCTATAAGTTTGTAATATTGACTGTTATGTTTTAAATTGTAAATATTTAATGTTAGAAGTGTAAGAAATTATTGTTCCTGCTTAGCTCCCTTAGACAAATGTTAAGACTTGAATCTTTGACTTGGCTTAAGCTCATTCATATTAACGCAGAGCCAAAGCATATTTAAATGTCATTAGAAATTCACCCTTATGTCTGCAAATTATAAAGGAATATATGTCTTATGACACGGCGATGAAGTTAGTTGAATTTAGCATGTGACGTTCCAATGCGTCTTGCTGGTTCACTCTTTTATGTTTTCAAAGTAAGAAAAAGTGACATATGCGTTACGTCGCGGAGATAAGGTTGAATTTGCAATGTGAAGTTTTGCTATTAACTCACTTCACTATTGCTAAATTGACCTTTATAGCTGAAGGACAATCGTGGAGCTATTGAGTTATCTGATAGTAATAAGTATTCAATAGATATATTTTGGCCTCTGTTGACTGAGTTGGCCATTGCCTCGTTGGCCGAGTGGTCGCAAGCGCGACTGCCGGGCAAGAGGTCTCGGGTTCGATTCCCGGGTCGGTCAAAGTATTACTGGGTTTTTTAAAATTCTCAGTAGTAGCACGGAGTCTAGAATTGTGCCCGATATATGGCAATAGGCTCACACCCCTTACATGGGACTCATAACATAAATAGTGAAAAGTGGGTGTTACATTGTTTGTACAGTGGCATTGACTGCTGTAATGTGCACCTCTGCCTACCCCTTCAGGGATCAAAGGCGTGATGTTATGTATTTTATTTATTCACTGTATTTTGTCCTTCAACGGGCGGCGGTAACGTGTAGCGGGGTCAACTTCCACACGGAACAAATCATTACAACAAGGCATAACAATTTATGGATTCCCCATAAATTGTTATGCCTTGTCTGGGTGTCATGTGTACCTATGTGAATTTGTATGTCTGTAAACCCACCTATGAGACAGGAGAAATTTCTAATGTGAGGCAAAATTTTTTTTATAAAAGATTTGATTTAGAGGTGTCAAAATATATCCTAAACATGTTTTTATAATAATAAATTCGTTTTAAATAGAATATTCCTTGTTTTTTTTAACCTTTTAAGCACCAATGTCACATATACGTGACAAGCGAAAACTGTCCCTGGACGCCAACGACACAAGTACATGACAGAAAAAGCGGAACCGGAAAAACGAAATCAACAATTTGATTCCTTACATATTAGAATTTCTTTCGTAGAAAGCGCGGAATTTGTGGCTTGGCTTTGAGCAAGTTCATGTGTTTTTTCTCTGGCGTTCAGAAGACTAATGTCTTATACAAACTGGAACAACCCTTGTATGTTTATGTTATAACTTTGGTGAGACATAGTATTAATTATCATGTTTTCGGCTTCTTCACGTAACTGACGAGGAACTAGACTAGTTTAAAGCCATGCTAGAGGCTCAAATTCATGAGCAGCATTCCGCGACCCGAGCTACTATTGGTAATAATAATTAGCTTGTATGTCATAAGGTAATAAATAATCATCACAGATCAACAGCATATAAATCCCCACGGCTGACCAAAGACCTCTTCTCACACGGAGATTTGAGCATATATTTAAAATATAAAAAAAAAACATATCGCCACGCTTGCTCAATGCGGGTTGGCGATTTCAAACTTATAATTAGGAATGAAGACAACCAATGTATTTCTACAATTTATTAACAATAGAACTAAAAACTAAATAACATATTAAATGCTTTTACAGTTTCATTCACTCCATACATCTAATAGTAATACAGCAAGTCTTTGTCATTATGTCTGTCTGTGTGTCTCACTATCATTACAACTTGTTTTAGCGGTGCTCTTTAAAAATATAGTAAAATTTACGATAATTTGGTCAACAAAGAATTCTTATAATTACAGTAACTTATAATCATACACATTATTAGCGTAGTTGCTATATAACAACGACACTGTTTAAGTTTTCTCGTTAAATATTCTCAAGTTTTACAATCATTAGATACATTTCCAAGAATCAGAATAACTGTCAGAAATTCAAAGTAATTCTTTCGATAATAAAGTTATCTGGCGTTGGAACAACCAGCGTTTAAAGAGTCACCCGAAGTTGAGATGTAAGCTGACATTTGAGAATTGAATTATTAATTGTATTATTCGAGATTTATGTATGACGTATCACGCAGCTTTCGCTTGCGCAAGCGTAGCTTTGTGTTGGTCGAGTTTGGTCCACTTCTCGCTCACCTTCCACAACCAGCTCGCCAGCTCATAGTCTTGCGCTAACTTTGAAGGCTCCTTCTTCTTCATGTCACTGCAAAAATGATATATTTTGAATAAATTATTACTATTGCTATTTATTACTATTATTTGTTTGTCAGAGTTAACATAAAACAATGAGAAGCTTAGTTCTTGGGTCGATCTGTAAGGTTAATTTCTTTATTTAGAATCTTCCAGTTCATCCATTTGCATAGAAGTGTATATAAGGTCTACCCCTTATTGTATATTTACAAGGAATGGCCTATGATGTAATATTAATGTAATACACGTTTTTACAAATAAATAAATGTATAACTAACAAAATGGGTTGAATAAAAGATTGTCCAGAGATTTTTATAATTCTTTCATTAACTACGTTTAAGAAAACCGACTTCAACCCCTCCTTTTTTAAGTCGGCTAATTAATGTACTAAAACTTTCTCCTGAGTGTGACAAACAGTTCTGAAAACCGTAAAATCGGTTCAGCCAATTACGAGATAGTCGCGCACAAACATGTATACATACAGGTGAATTGAAAACCTCCTTGTTTTTGAAGTCGGTTAAAAATAATTTCAAAATTGGTACTTACACATAATAATCCCCTGAACAGTCACTGAGTGCCGGATCTAGGGCGGCGTGGACGATGACCTGACTGCCGATCTTGGAGGACTTCATAAAGGGCCAGAACATTGGGTATACCACGAAGCGGGAGACGCTCTTCATCACCGACATGTGGCGCGTTATGTTGGTGTCTGTCAGGCCTGGATCCACCGCCACTACTGACACTCCTGTACCTGGGGATTATGGCCGAGAAGTGAGTAAAAGATTACAATTTCAAAACATGTAGGCATGCATGAGTTTGGTGTCAAACTCATATTGATTCTTATCATACATAACATAACAACACGCCTTTTATCCCCGAAGAGGTAGGCAAAGGTGCATACAACAGCACTTAATGCCACTGTACAATGTAACATCCACTTTTCACTATTTATGTTATGACCCATGTGGTAAAACCTATAGGTGGTAAACCTATTGCCATATATCGGGCACAGTTCCAGACTCCGTGCTACCACAGTTTTTTTTTTATTTAGTAATATTTTGCCCGACCCGGGAATCGAATCCGAGACCGTCGACAGTCGCACTTGCAAACACTCGGCCAACGAGGCAGTCAGTCTTCTTATTAATTCTATTCTATTGTAGCTACCCCTAATCTTCTAAACAATTTATTATGTGTATTGAAATTGGTCGTTTGTAAACGCATCCACGACACAGAGGGAAATGCTTTTGTGAGTTGCACTCTGCTATTTCTACTCCTTCTTCTACTCCTACTTGTTCTCCTATTTCTACTCCTACTTCTACTCTTATTTCTACTCCTTCTTCTACTCCTACTTCTACTCTTACTTCTACTCCTACTTCTATTAGATCATAGCGTCCTGTTTTTAGCCTATAGTTTTCCTTGATAAATAGACAAAATCAATTTTTCGTTTCGTTTGCTCTCCCCGCAACTATTAGTAGTTCCCCAATAAAGTAAGTACAGAATAGATAGTTACCCAACAGCCTCCTGCCAAGTTCTCTAACAAACAGTAGGTTGGCGAGCTTGCTCTGCGCGTACGCAGCCGGCGCGTCGTACTTCTTTGTGAAGTTGAGATCGTCCTTGTTGATCTGTCCGCGTTGGTGGACACTGCCTGTCACTGTGATCACTCGGCTTGGAGCTGACTCCTAGGGAGGGTGTAATAAGGCTGTTAAAATATATTTCATCTGCCTCGTCAGACAAGATTAAAAACAATAGAAAAGTTAATGATGAGGTTAAAAGCGTAATAATCAGAGGCATAGCTAGTGCCGTATTTGGCGTATTAAACGGGCCCCCGGACTAAGGGGGCCCCAACGTGCGTAAGCAAAATTAACAGAAACTTCCCAATTTGTATTTTATTTCAGTTATCATAAAAGTCAAAATAAACGATTTTTTAATAGCATGCGTTCAAAGGTCAGCAGCAACTTTTGAAAAACTATTAAGTAATCATTGTCTGATAAATTTGGGCAGAGGGAGATAGATACTTGGAAAATTTCCCGGTTTTGACACAAATTATTAGTATTGTATGTAAAAAATTCTCTTGTGAGAATCTTTACCCTTCATAACCCCAAACAATTATTTATATGGCAAGACACGCTACGCCACTGGTATGCCCGTATATCCCCAAGTGGTCACCGGTGACCGTTCTCCACTAACTACATTATAGACTTAATTCCAATGTTTAGAGACTACTTTTGTATGAACATCTTTAGGGGATGATTTTCAACAATTTTCAATGGGTTAAGCTCATAATATTAATTCCACATCTCAACTTTATAGTGATTACATGTCATTCGTCTAGCTGGTTCATTCTAGTCACTCTAGTGGAACAAGCAAATAAATAAAATAAATAAAACAAATGTTTCGTTTATCCAGTAAACGTAATGTGACTTAATAATGACAACGCTCTCTACGACAAGCGAAATGTGAACTTTACGCAGTATTATGTTACCTTGAGTGTGTCCAGTAGAAGGTTGGTGAGCAGGAAGTGTCCGAGATGGTTGACTCCGAACTGTGTCTCGAAGCCGTCCCGTGTCACGCTGGCCGGCGGCTCCATCACGCCCGCGTTGTTCACCAACACGTGCAACTGGGGCTCCTCAGACTTGAACCTGGTCGGATCAGTATCAAAAGAATTAGGTCACTGACGATTTAGAGGATACTGCTAATGATCCCAACGTGGCTTATGACAATATTAATCATTAAGATATACCGGGGTAAAGATAAATAATTGTGTCAGTCAAGGTCCAACCTCGGCTGGATATAGACATCCCCTTTTTCTGCCATAGTTAGTTCCGGGCTCTAGCATCCCTCATACAACGCAGTTTTGGATGGTTCAAATTAATTTGGCCTTGGACATAGAGAAGTTACTAATTTTACTTCAAGAAGTTATCAAAGCACAAAACAGAAATTGACCATCACTTAGTATTGAAGAACAGAATATTTATAAGACCCTAAATTCCGTACGATTTTCTCCTACCATTTATTTATTTATTATTGAGTATTTAGAGGTAAATATGATATTACCGTTCAACGAACTTCCTGATGGACTCAGTGCTGGCCATGTCACAGGGCCGGCAGTACACGAACTTGTTGCTGGATTCCAGCACGATATCGCGCCGCACCTCCTCGCACGTCTCCATGTTACGACATGCCATGAATACCTGCTCAACAACAATGTGGATATTTTATAACATTCAGGTAAGACAGACAGCGTACTATAACTATATTAGTACTCTGTACTGAATAAATTTAAGAACTGCCAGCTTCGTTGATCCAATGGCCACAAGTATCCAGAGCCGCGGAAGAGTTAACGGGGTGGTTTTTAGTCTGTAAGAGTCTGACACTCCTTCTCGCCTCACCTAAGGTGGAGCCGTTGGATGATTTTCACCCCGTAATAAACTGGCCAAAAGTTTTGTTTACCGAGTAATAGATCTTAGATTAAGATATTTTATCACAATTTTCAAAATTCTAGCTCGAAGCCAGTATACTCATTTTACATGGGACTCATAATTTTTATTTTTATTTTATATTATTTTATTTAGGAAACAAACAGTCACATAAAAAACAAAACTTATATAAGAAAACAATAGGTTCAAAAAGACTTCGAGTTCCATACAATTTTTAAGTGTAGCATGAAAGTAACCTACCCACAATTTATTTTAAACAGAATACACAAGCACATGCAGTCAAACATAGGTTACATTATTTTAAGAGAAGGATGCGCAATTTAATTTTATATGATGCTAAACTGTGGTTAAATACATCTATTTCGTTAAATTTACAATTATAAGTGTCTGTGCTACGTCTGAAGAAGCTATTACTATACTATAATTTAAGTATGTTATGAGTAATTTCATAACTTATGTATCAGAAAATAAACTATCGTTTGATAAATAATTGCTTACCCCTTCCAATAAATATATTATCTTACCTTAGCGCCTCGTCTAGCGAAGTCCCAGGCAGCCTCTCTGCCGATGCCGCTGGTGGCCCCTGTCACGATGACGACCTTGCCTTCAGCCTTCACATTCTTATCATAAGGAGGTCCGCCATAGAAGTCTCTGGAATCCCACTGCAATGTTACTATCAACTAACGTAAAACGCGAGTGAAGATTCGAAAAACACCCCACTGCAAGACAATCGATTGTCGATAATGCTACATTTTGATTTTGATAAACATACAAGTAGGTTTGTTAAAACTAAAATGTTTTTGGATTGTATTATTTTCTTTATGATAGGGGGATACAAGACTCTGTTCCTAACGTCTATGAACATCACGGAGCTAGTACTTACTTGAACAAGCAGAGACCTCCTGCCGTGGCCGCCACCGTCGACACGATCACAATTGGCATGTTCGGCACCCACATTGCTGAAGTTCTGCTGAATAACACCGGATAATATTATAGAGCAAATTACTTAAGACTTAAGAACATGAAGACAACGGATGAAGTCATTGTATGTAAAGTATTCAGGTACAGGGTGTGATGTTCCATAAGTTAGTATAACGGAAGATCCTCCGAGAAGAAGCTAGGAGGTCATGGCTGACTGGTTTCTGGCTACATCTACCCACTAGTCGTCGCGTATAGGATATTTAATAGGATAACGTCATTACTTAGTTTATTTTTATTTATTTTATTTATTTCTTTATTTAGTTTATATCGTTCTTTCTTGAACCAGCTCCCGAGTGCCGAGCAGTGGCATGGTCTCACCTATAATTACTAATACTACGAATCTGAAAAGATTTTTGTTTAAACGCTCTATTCTCAGAATTGACTGGTTCGAATTGATCATATATCTTTTTGTGATAGATATTCCATTTAATTTTATCAAACACTAGCGGCCCGCCCTGACTTCGTCCAGGTATTATTCTGTAAATTACATCCCTACCCCTACCCTACCCTATCCCTACCCTACCCCTACCTTACCCCTACCCTACCCCTACCCCTACCTAAAGTGATTATTGTAGAGCTTCTCTATAAACAACATTTGACGTTAAATTATTTTCAGGTAACAAAATATACTGATGGTCGGGAGTCCCGACCCGTGATAGAGCAACATAAAGTTGCCCATGCGTAAAACATTCTTTTCTTAAATCAATTCCTACTAATTTGAATGTTTGGCCCTGGGATTTGTTTATCGTTAGTGCGAAAGAAATTTTGACTGGAAATTGCAGTCTTTTGAAGGGTATAGGCAAATCAGTAGGAATCATGGGTATCCTTGGTATATGAGCTAATTCACCAGCTGCAGGGCCGGTGATAATCTTCGCTACTATTAAATTATCTTTTAGCTCGTTTATAAGAAGTCTCGTGCCATTACACATGTTGGGGGGGCACCCCCGCCTTGGTGACGCTCACTTCGCAACGGGCCGTGCAGCAGAAATCGTGATATTTTAATTTCGCCATAACTTCGAAACTAAACATCCAATTTTAATCATTCAAAGACCAAATATCATCTACATTAACTGTACTTAATGATGAAATAAATTATTTTGATAAGGATTAATAGAATGAGTAAAATAAATGCGTTTAAAAGTAGTCCAAAAAAATTCAAGATTTTTGATTTAAAAAATGGTTGTTGTGCCTCACTCGACATAGATAGGTATAGTGTGTCGCGGAGTTTTTTGTAGATATTTATAAGATCTACAACTAATTAGAACATTTCATAGTTCTATCTTTTATAGTTTAGGCAGCGTACGCAAAATAAGTAACTTTTCTGGTTGATTTTTTACACCTTGTGTCCGAAAAACCCAAATATATTACGGAACCCTATTTATTTCCAAAATAAAATTTAGTCTATGTTACTCGTGGATAATGTAGCTTTCGAATAGTGAAAGAATTTTTGAAATCGGTCCAGTAGTTTTTGAGCCTATTCATTACAACCAAACAAACAAACAAACAAAGTTTTCCTCTTTATAATATTAGTATAGAAGTATAGATAGTATAGATATAGAAGTATAGATTATAATATTAGTATAGATCACGCTACGAATGATACGATCAATATCAGCTTAGCAGCAGGTGAAAGGGAGCGGGGGTAGCCAGTATATATTATTTTATACATATAATAAAATCGTAGAAAAGTCAAAACTGTTCATTGAATATTTTTTTTAAATAATACTTGAGACGTGATCTACAATCGAAAACGAAGCCAAAAATATGGTTTTTAGAATTTTTGTCTGTATGTATGTCCGGGATGAACTCCAAAAGTACCTACTGCATGGATTTACTTCAAATTTTGCATGAATATTACTAACAGGTCGGGTCAACATATTATCACGCTATCATCTATGGGGGCCCAGTCGAAGTTGCGGGCAACAGCTAGTATTATATCTGTGATCTTCAAATTGCCAGTCAAGTCTGGAGAAAGTGGGGCAGTCAAGACACGGCAGTGGGTGTAGGCGGCTAGGTACCTACTCGGCTGTTGATGATGATGTTTTTTTATGGTATAAGCCGATAATCGAGCAGGCGGATCACCTGATGGTAAGCAATCGGCGTCGCCCATGGACACCTGGAACACCAGAGGTGTTGCAAGTGCGTTACCGGCCTTTTGGGATTAGAAATTTGAAGTTTTGTTGAGGATTCAGGGATTGGGGAAGGATGGGGAGGGTGAGGAGTAATTGGGCCTCCGGTAACCTCACTCACACACACTGTTTTCTGTGAGGTTGGTGATTGACAGTTTAAACTGTACTGTCAAACACCGCGCGGTCACCGGTGACCGCAACCTATTGTTCTTTAATTGTGTCTATAATGACGGTACTCAACGAGTTAAGGTACATTTCGTAATTATCTTGATAGCTTAATAAAATATGTTATTAAAATTATAGAAAAATAAAATGGATGAGATTTAGTCGGCATATTATTTATTTTCAGAATGACTTAGTTATAGTGTCTGGATGGTCAGTCATTGGATGATTTTCCCCGTTCAAAAAAAAGATCTAGATACTTACCTATATTAATTTGGTTAGAATTATATATATTTTGATTTCCGCACTAATCGTCGGCTTAAATTGGAAACTTATCGAAGGGCTGAGACTGGAACAGTGGCCTTGGTTAATGTAATTTTTTTTTATTTGATGTATTTTTGCTTAGGTACCCTCGATGTGGGCCTCTGTATAATAGTATGGCAGATATGCAACAAGCTACCCGAACCTGTGTCAATTAATTACGAATTTTATTTCGAAGGACAGAAGGTTGAGATTTTAATAAAGTATATTGTCAGTGTGCTAGTGACCATACTACACTTGTAACCATACAATATACAAGAAAATAATGTTATAAAATCACGCAAACTCTGCCAGTACTTACGACACTACACTGCGGGACATACATTATTGGCCGCACGAATATTGCCCTATTTTGCTTCTGTTAAAGTACCTCTACTTAGTCCAGTCAAAACAGACTTATGATTCCAGTTTGCATTCATTCCCAATCGGCTTGTTATGAATTAATGCAAACTGGAATGTCTATTTTGACTGGATTAGGTACTAATAATCTGACGGATAATTCGAAATCTTTTCCAAAATCAAATCTTAGTTTAAGGCAATTTTAAAATGTATCTTTGTTAATTCCTTATTAGAAAGCATATTTTAAAAGCTCGGACGAATCTATGATATTTATGGAGTAATCCCAGATAAGCTTTCGACAGATATTTAGTAGGATATTAGCATCTTGTTGTTACTTGTTTCTTTTTATCCCATTATTTATTTATTTATTTATTTATATATGCTTTATTGTACACATTTATGTAGTTTAAAACAAACAATTAAAAAAAAAATTCTTTAAACCCAATTCAAGTAAATATGCGTACAATGGGCGGTCTTATCACACAATGGTGATTTCTTCCAGACAACCTTTGGATGGAAATATTTGTAAGAAACCAGATAAGGGGTAGTTACGTGTACAAAAAAAAAAAAAAAAAGACAAAATAAAAAAGCCTACAATACAACCTACAATAGATATAATATACTAGCAACATATAAAAAGAAATACATAAATAATATACAAAAATACAATAAGCTATGTGTGTGTGTGTTTGTGTATGTGTGTGTGCGTGTGTGTGTGTGTGTGTGTGTGTGTGTGTGTATTTGTATGCGTATGTATGTACAATTAATGAAAGGAGAAACAGAAGCTTATAGTGTGAGAAAGTGCTCCTTCACAAGGTGTTTAAACTGACGCAAAGTCCGGGCACGCCTCACCTCGATAGGCAATTCATTCCACAATCGAGCCGCTTGAACCGTATAAGATTTATCGAAGATTTGTCATATACACGAAAAAATCGGAGAAGAACCACGAGTTACTGGGGCTCGGAGCTTCTGCTCGAAGTAGGCGTAAGACCGAGGTGCTTTTCAATCAGTAAGAGTCTAGCACTCAATCTCTACACACCCAGAGCAGGTTGTTAAAATCGATGATACTCTCCCCTAAAAACAAAAGCATTCACATCACACGTAGGTATGTACCTGTCGTTCCGCACCGCACACCGATTTAACCGAAACCCGCAGGGTATAAGAAGGCAATAACGGTCAATATCTATAGTAGCTAAGTTTGTTCACATCGTTTTTGTATAGGTAATTTCGAAGATTACACGCATTATCGCACCATTAATTAATAAGTAATTAGGCTCCAAGTTTACAAGGTATCTATAAATTCAACTTTATACCTTCCGCAAATGGGTTTTAAATAGGTACCAATTTATTTTGCAATCCATTGTAATATCGTGAGTTTGAACGAATTATGTTAAGTGTATATTTGCATTATAATGTTTGGAGCAAATTTTATATTAGTGGATAGGCTTAAAAGTATTTTTTATAAAATGGCCAGGCTATTACCATTACTTAGATATCTAGGTTCGTTGGAGTGCTACAACCCCCGTTCCAAATTTCATTGAATACTAAACAGTGCATTTATGATTTACTAGGTTCTGCCCGCGATCCCGTGGGATAAGAACTAGGCTATGTGTTATTCTAGATTCTAGAATCTAGAGTATAATCTCCCACTGTTCCAAATATCAGCCGTCTTCACCTGATTGGGCAACCAACGTCAAACATACACACAAACTTCATTTACTATATAAGTAAAAAAAATAGTTTGTTACTATAAACTACACTGGTCAGGTTTACGCCTAATAGTGAACATGAACTACTTTCTCAAAGGTTTCAGTCACGCACGTTTGCACGTAAAATAGGTATGGACCTATCTACCTACACTCCGATTAAACGTTCAATATATTTTCGACCTTATCGCCTTTGATATTATGAAGCCGTGCCTTGGTGCATAGGTTTGTCAAAAACTCGAAACTACTGAACGGATTTTTATGCAATTTCGGATGGGTAGAGGTGTAAGACTGTGATTCTTGTTGAAGATTTAAGTAAGTACCTACTTAAGTTAATTGTTTCATGACGATTTGAAGGGGTAAGATAGTACCCACGGTGGTCGCAATGCTAGTAAATAGGTACTAAAGTTGAATTCGAAGTGAGTTGCTTAAGTTTTCACATTGTCAGACTTGTTTGACCAGGAATCGAACCCGCGACATGATTTGTTGCTACTTACTGTACCTGTTAGCCTGAACTAGCGTGTAACCAAGGATTCTAAGATTTTATCTAGAAGTAACTCCGTAGCGTATTCATTTCATTATAAGAATTTTGATACAAATATCGAGGCACTTAGGAAACACTTCCCACGGCGGTAAAGTTCGACGGCATTGAGCGAGCTCCTAAAATAGACGCGGAAAGTTTTGATAAATCAAAATAGTAGATAGTTTATGATATCGACATAGACGCGTTTCATGGTAGCCTTGGAGAAATGGAGAACCACTTTTCTCATCATTTTAATGGATGGAAATAAGTATAAAAAAGTAAATAACATGACTGATACTAGTAATGTAAACGATTTTATTAATTATTAGGTACATTAGTTTAACATTGAAATGTTTTAGGCAATATGTGATTCATTTCATAAGTACAAGATATTTTACTTTATGTTAATTCAAGCCCAATAGTGGGATAGACCATTTATTACAATTTACATAGGTTTTTTGTGTAGCTTAATTAATTATGGTAATGTATGGGCACGATCGAGGGAAGATACAAAGTATTACATTAGTTGAGACCGAGTCACGTATAAAATTACTAAAAGACTACAAAAATAAGACTGTTGTTCATCTACCTAATAAAAACATAATATCTACTGAAGTCTATATATATTATGCGAAATTACAGGAACTATAATAATTATAATTTAATGAGGATTCTATAAAAATCCCTCGAGTTATAAAATATGTATGTACCTACAGCGCGTTATATTAACTTATTTTCGGTCGTACAGTTGTAAGGGATCGAGGGAACATTGTTTTATTATTAAAAATAAAATTTAAAAATGTTGAAGCAAACTTTGAATAAAAGCTCGATAAATTGCGAGACTCGTAGCAGTTTTACAATCAAATTGTAATATATTTGGAAGATTTATAAAACACACTAAACAGTTACCTATGAGTTTGGAATCTTTGTGAAATTACGCGCAGGTAAACAATATAAACAAAATCAATACTTAGACAAATTAATAATGCAGAGAGCTGACCGGGTGTGCATACATTAAAAGTTTAAGATCTGCCGCGTGTCGATAAGATTACATCGGTACTTCAGAGATCAGTAAGCTTATGAATTGATAACATAAATGCAAAATAATACTTGAAATTATGCATAACCAAAGACCATTTTATTGTCTTGGACCATTGCACCGGAATTTCAGATAATTCGATTCTAATGGTAGCCCAGCATTACAATAAAATAGTCTAAGATCTATTTGGTGAACAGTTGTACAATACTTATCAAACATATTATAATTAGCTTATATATACCACTCATATCACATGTGCCCACCTAGTTTTGTGCAATATTTATTATACAAACAAAAATGCATATTGCCTTTACATCTAAGAGGCATTGAGGTACCTAATAACGAAGCTGATTCCAAATAAATGTATATCTTATTACTTCTCAATTACAAACTAGTTTTCTTTGTAAATATTCTTCATACAGGTCCTTATGTACTTGCAAACTATAAATATACATACTTACAACATAGTTTAAGATTTTTATACAAAAAATATAAAAGGCAAGAACTCAATTCACAATCAAATCCTTTTTTATTTATAAATGTGTATATTTATATTAATACTATTCAATGCAGGTGTAGTGAGATTCGAATATTCCTATTTACAATAAAATTTATTTTATATAATTGCTCCCTTAGGTAAATATCTACAAGATACGTGATATTACAATCTAAAGTAAAAAACAATTGTTCAATACAGGGAACATTTTGTGTAAAATTATTATAGGTAAGTAGGTATAATTACTATGGACTGTCTTGGACTCTTGTAAAACATTCAACAATAAACATAAATAAATAAATCCAATCAGAGCAACATATAAGTTGATATAATACAATTTGGATACAAAATTAATATTTTGAATAACAACTGTACAGGTACTTTGATACATTAATTGTGTACAAGAAATTATTTACAAAAAATTCAAGACAATTCATTGCATAATTTTAAAATGTGCTTTTAAAATGACATGTGTCTTACATATTCCTATAATTACTAGTAAAGCGTTAATTATTATTGTATCATACGAGTTTTGAGCTCTGTCGTGCAACCTCTGTGTAACTTACATCTACTGACTTCGTGACTATCCCTCGAGAGACTTCTGACATACTTTCATATTGTCTAACAAATTTAATAAATAAACAACTGATATAAAAAAGGACTAAAAATTGTTCAGTAGTTGAAAACATTTTTGCCAATCCCAAACATGAAGCAATATTATACTTTTGAATTCCTAATAACCATTTGAAGTGATTGTGAGACTATGTTATATGTCAGAATCCTCTCCGCCATCTGCCACTCCACGATATGTAGACCCTAAAGCATACAGATATGACTCAACTTGACTAGTACAGTTTATTGACCACAATATTTAATTAACTTGGTTTTGTGTTCAGTGTAGTGGTACTTTTTGACTTAGAGTCTTGTGGAGGAAGTGGCCTTGCTACTCCAACCTTTACAATACCTCTTGGAGCACCCTTCAGAGCTTGCACGGCCTGGTCAAGGGTAGCATTCTTAATACTGACACCATTCACTGACATTACTCTATCTCCCGGTGATATCTCTCCATGCTTCTCAGCTACACCTCCAGGAACTAGACTACGCACAACTATGACTGTACCCTGAGGATCTACAGGATCCTGGTAGTCCAATATGGAGAAACCTAACCCTTGATCACCTTTGAACAGTTCCACTATGTCTTCTTTGCTTTGCCACATGGCTAAACCTGACACACACTCCAAAGACCGTGACTTCTTTGAATGGCTTGAATGGTTTGTCAATGTAGCTGTGCTGGACGTGTTGATTGACGTGTCTGACTGTGCTTTCACAAGGGTTGTCAAGTTATTCAAGCTGCCTGATATTATCTTTCTTGCTTCAAACCCTTCTCTGTCTGGCGCTAAGTTTATAAGCGGCCGTGGGCCACTGTCTATACTACTGCGTGCACACACTAACCGCACTCTATTTGGAAGCTTCTTCAAGATATTTACTACTTCTGTATGGGTTAAGCCATGGAGTCGGTACTCATTTGCTTCTAGAAGCTCATCTCCAGCAGAAAGGCTACCTTCCTGACCTACAGGTCCATCAGGAAGCACAGATCTAATATAATGATGAGGTCTCACTTCCTGCCCTCCTTCTACGTCTACAGTCCCTTCAAGGCTTATACCCAACCCTTCTAGCTTGCTTACTTCAGCCACTAGGATTTCCTTGTCTGGCCCTATTTCTTCTTCCCACCGTTTCTTTATTTCTTCTTTATCAACAGCTAATATCTCATCGAATCTTCTGTCCAACTCTTCTTGTGTTGGTTCATCCACAAGTTCTTGTGTGTCAACAATTTCTAGCACATTGGAGTCTATAGTTGTGTTAGACTCAGGTTCAGGTTCAATTTCTATGGTACTGTTTTCAGCTTGGGAAGGCACTGGAAACCAGGACAAGGTGGTTGTAGAAGGTGACGGCGATGTGGGCCGCTCGTCATTAAATATAGCTAGTTGAAGGTGCTCAAACTTTGGACCTCTCAGATATCTTTCCAAAACTAGGTGCACAGATATGCCTGTGTTTCTTAGAATTTCTACTGCCTGGGGATTAGTCTTATCTGCTAACGAAGTCCCATCAACTTCTATAATTCTATCATTAATTCTAATTTTACCACTCTGTTCAGCACTGCTGCCTTCTATAATACTTTTTACAAATATTCCAGAGAGTTCCTCCTTCTCACACACATAGCCTGCAACAGTTATGCCCAATCCATACACATTTTTATTTAAATCCACATGAACAATCTCAATCTCAGGCTCATTCGGGATCTCCACAGGTACAGTGATAGTGATGGTGGGTGAGATGGCATCAGATATGATGGGGTGGTCAGGGATCTGCTGAGGGTTGTCACCAATCACACTGACAGCTGCAGCCACGAAGCTGGGCTCAGCCACGCCATTCTGAGAGTTGATGTAGTCGGTGAAGCACTGAGACAGATCATACACTGCACCATAGCCAGTTTCTATGAGGTGTCGGTCCAGCAGCTCGGGATCGCCGAGGATTTTAGTAGGGACTAGCGCAGTGCCGGGAATCGGGGCACGTAAAGCCGCAGCAGGGTCGGCCGGGCGCGCGACCAGCAGTCGCACTGCAGGTCCTGCCTGGCGCAACACTGCAGCGACTTGCTCCGAAGTGAAGCCGCGCAGGTTGACAGACCCCACTTGGAGGACGTGGTCTCCGCTCTGCAGCCGCCCGTCTTTGTCCGCTACTCCGCCCGGTAGCACGTACTTGATGACCACCCCTGTGCTTCGCCCGCCTACAAGATTAAACCCCAGGCCGTTTCCATCATTAGTGAGCTCGACAACTTCAACCTGCGCCCACTCGGTACTCAGCACCATCGCGGTTCTTCTCACCATCAGGGCACTCCCGTCGTTACGTGATGTTGCGAGCGCGCGCCGCGCGGAGGTTAGGAGCTCCCAGCGCCGCCATCATTACGTTTAGGTCACAGAAATTATCACAAAACACACGAGAGATCACGAGAACTCAATACGGACCGCTGATAACATAAAAATTGTAAAATATAATAATAAGTGACATTTACATACTTGCTGAAATCGGAGACAGCAAAATGTGGCCAGCTGCGCGCAGGGGTGACCGACGAATAATTCAATTTCCTACCAATACATTTTTAAATGTCAGATAGTAAACACTTTTTAATTTAGTCCTTACTTTTAGAATAAAATAAATTACATCTAGTTGCAACAACTATTTAAAGGAAAATAAGTATTATGCAATTAAACTATATTTTTTGCCTTTACTCTCACAGATGGCACTAAACAGCAAAAAGTAAAATAGTCGCATTAAAAGGGACATGAAGTTTCAATAATGTAACAATAGAGGACGCTAGCTATTTTTAGACTTCATTCTAGTGTTTGATTTCGATTAAAAATGGTTAGAAAGACTAAAAGTACCTACATATGTGGTTATTCTACTTGTCAACAGGTGGCGTGATAGTGCTATCGACTCTTTTTTTTAATGCTTATACCCTGTTGAAGTTTTTTTATGTACTTACGTATTAGGTTAGCATTTGGACACAAACTTGCCGTTACTCCGTACCCCCTTTTGAAACTGTATCCTTCGGGAAACGTCTCTGACAACGTGTGGCAGCTAATTGAGCTTTGTTTATTTCCAGAACGTTTTCTATGTCTATGAAATCCCAGGAGTCCCACAGGGTTCACATATGAGACCGATTATATTCAACAATTTCATTAACAAATAGTGTTTCTACATATCTATCTGTTATTTCAGCACTTGACCCTTTTATATTTGCTGTTGACTTGAAAATGAATGGAGTCTTGATAGACATGTTCAAGTACATATACTAAGATTGAAATATTGGACTGCATGGTTATCGCGACGGTTGCCGCGATACCCTTCACGATACTTGTAGCTGGTTCGATTTCCGCACGGCACAACTCTTTTTATAATCCACAAATTGTTGTTCCGGGTCTGGGTGTAAATTTTATGTGAACTTGTATGTTTGTCAACGCACTCACGACACGAGAAAATCTGTGTGGGGGCAACGTTTATAAGAAATAAAGAAAAGAGAAAGAATAATAATATAATAAACACCGAAACAGCAAGAAATCTCGATTGATTTGATAAAAAAATGTTATCTGAGGAATTGTGAAAAATAAATATAATATAATGGTATTAAGAAGGAGATATGTACCTATATTATTACCTAAATAAATACCTACGCAGTACTAGATATATCAGTAGAGTGACGCATCCTGAAGCCGGCTTATCAATTGACTCACGCTATTGTGTATGCAGTGATCGCGGCATTCAGGTGCTGGTCGCAAATTACACATTAAAACATTTATTTATTTTATAATTATCTGGAGTGAGAGAGGATCCAGCAACATCGTTTCTGTGACCACAAGGTAAGAAGCTTATTCCTTTTTAACCAACTTCCCAAAAAAGGATGAGGTCTCAATTCGTCTGTTTGTTACTTTTTTTGTGTGTGTTACACGATTACTCCGGCGTTTGTGCACGGATTTTGACAACTCTTTTTTTGATAGAAAGGTTATAATATTCTCGAGGAGGTGGTCCCATTTTCACTAGGTCAGGATCTTATGATGGGATCCCAGGGAAACTGAGGGGAACTTTTAAAAATAGTAGGGGTGGTAAGAGAGTTTTTAAAATTTAGTGTATTTAAAAATATTGCAATTTGGTGGAGGTGTGGAGTTGATCTGGTGATAGAGACAAGAGACAGTCGAGGGAACTCCTCGAGGATTTGCAGCAATGACTCCGTGTTTGGGCTTAATTGGTTTGTATTGATGAGAACTTTACCTAGATGGGGTGTGATTGTCATCATGGGCCTGATGATGAAGTAGTGTGATAGCTATAAGGGATACCTGGTGTTTGGGCTTGATTAATTTGTATTGATGAAAATTTAAGTTTTTTACTCTCAAATTTTTACCTTTTCTTTGTTGGTTTTTAAGTCGGTTTTTTATTAAGTTGTACAGAGTTGTACTAGGAGATCCATTAGCTTGTTTGCTTCCCTGTAATAACTACACACGCCATTTTCGAAATAGAGGTGCAGTGCTTGGTTTAGCTTTTCTGTAAATATATTAGTACTCACTTTACCCAAGTGATTGAACAGGTTATTCCTACAGGAGACTATGAGACTACAATGACACGAGTTACGCTATATCCGACACTGGAAAAGCTAGAAAAGTAACACATGCCATGATGCCAATTCAAACAGCTCAAATTTTAGATCCTAATTATTATAAATGCTAAAGTTTGTTTCTTTGTTGCTCAATTATGTAGAAACGGCTGAAGGGATCAGGATGAAAATCGGAACATGGGTAGATTATGGACCGGATTAAAACATTGGCTAGGTAGTTTTTATGTCACAGGATCGCAGGAGAAACTGCTGGCAGAGGCTTTTTTTTTTAAGTGGGGAAAATCATCGAATGGCTGCTCCCGCCTGGGTAAGGCGGTAGGGAGTCTTAGACTCTTACTGACTAAAAACCACCCCGTTCCTTCTCCTGCACGTCGAGCCGGAGCCCCGGTTACCCGTTAAGTTCTCCGCGACTCCGAATCGGCATCGGCCCTGTTGGGCCCCATCTGTGGTGGTCTGATGGCTCTATGAGGCGCGCGCCGAACGCGACGCGCCGTACGTTCGGGTCTGTTTCTGGTCGGATGGGGAGCCACCCATGCTCGCCGTCCGCAGGCCAGCACTTACGGTGGCCGGAGATCGTCCCGCGATCCCCGACGCCCGGTGTGTCCTTCGCGATGGCTGGGTTGCGAGGAGGCAGCGCTTCACTGCCTCACGCGTTCCGCCTCCTCCTTAGCTAGCATGACTGCTTCGCAAAAGGAGGAGACGGCATCCCAGTCCCCCTCGCTCCGCATCATGGCCTGCACTAGACCCGGACGCGAGAGGTCGCCATCGCCGATCACTTCCCTGAGGGCACGGCGGTGGTCAGCCCACGCAGGGCATTCCACTACAGTGTGTTCTACCGTGTCCTCAGGGCGGTCCTCGCAGTGATGCTGGCAGAGGCTAGCTACATACTTATAAATACAGAACCAATTGCAGCTCCAAACAGTCATCGAAACTACATGAGTCAATAGTAAATAATGTGTAATTATGATACCTGTACCTACCTACACACACCGAAGTAGTCATAGAGCCAATTTAGATTAGACCAAACAGTTGTTATCTTTTACAAGCATTTAGATTAAGAAATACGTAGATATTATGGAGTACGTATGTACCTATCTTTTATATTTTATAGAACTATAACTTCTCTCTAGGGTATTCCCCGACGGTGGTTGTTGCGCTGTCATTCCACCCGGTCCGAATGTTATTATTTACTTCACTACCAACCATCATTATGACATGTAGATAGGTAGGTACAGGTATACCCGCCATCAACGGCTCGCTGGAGTCCACTGCTGTAACATCGCTCTCCTCTACAAAAGAGGGGTTTCCTTCGCTGGTCATAAAGTCAAAGTCAAAGCATTTATGTCAATGAAACTCTAATTTGCTACCCTGCTTGTTCTAAAATGTAGATTTGAATGAAAAAGAACGAGCAAGAAACTCCCTGTATATGACAATAGGCTCGCCCCCTATAACATGGGAATCATAACGTAAATAGTGAAAAGTGGGTGTTACATCACGCCTACCCCTTCGGGAATTAAAGGCGTGATGTTATTATAATTAATTTAGCATGTCTAACGAAAGTTATAAACATGAAATACTTTGTTCATAGATGACTGAAAACGAACCTGCACGGAGCTTCGAGCTGGGCGACGACAGCGACAATATGTCCGAGGTAACAGTGTGTTCTGGAAAACATTTCAGAAGAAACTACTATAAGACTGAGTTAGACTGAGTTATACTCAGTCTTATAGTAGTTTCGTCTTACTTAGTACTTAATCTTTCTTCTATAAAAAATGAACAAAGAAAAACGGGTTACTGACGTTACAGGCAAAAGGTTTCGGGCATTTTTTGTCCATAATCACTAATTTAATTTGAATATATTTTCACCGACGTTTGCGACAGCGATACAGACAGAATAATAAAAGCAATTTGGTACAATCAGAAGAAAAAGTGTTACAAAAATATGCATATTTTTTGGTGGCTTCTAAGTTCTAAGACAAAGGGACTGAATATTTTGTCAATCGGAAAAAAGTAATGTTGGTTTTGTTGTTACTATTTTATTGGTTAACGTCAACTTACAGTACTGAAAAGTGAATATTTCAAACAGTAAATGAACAACAAACTTAAGAATTAGTTCATTTAAACTGTCAAACACCAAGCGGTCACCGGTGACCGCAATCTATTGTTCTATAATTGTGTCTACAAAACCGGTACTCGACGAGTTAATTGTGATTTTGGAAATACCTATTTCAGGGTAGTTACCTAAATTTTATTTTAATGTCCGTCTGGTACATTAATTTAAAACTTTAGACAATTTTTTTTTCTTTTCTCACAAAATTAAATTTTTTCGATGTTATATTAATTTGAAATATCGTGTGACGTCACAGCGTGCCACATTTTGTAGCACTGAATGCCGTAACGACCACCACTCCTAAACTTTAAAATAAAAAAATACGTGTCTAATATTTTTTTTATATCTAACAGACGTACTAATTAGATTTTTAATTTTGATACCCTGGAGACTACCCAATTAATGTAGGGTCTATCACGTTTCTTTTAGGTTGAGAATGCCAAAGAACAGTCTCCGGGAGCAAGTGATGCCGCTGGTAGCAGTCAAAGTAGTAAGTTAACATTGTTATATAACAGAAGTCATGTAACATGTACAAACATAACATGATTATTCTCCGAAGAGGAAGGTCGGGGCGCATTCATTGTACGTTACATCCACGGGCATAAATATTTATAAAGGGCACAATTCCAGACTCCGTGCCCACTACTGAGAATTTGGAAAATTCAAACAATAAAGGTTATCGCCGCTTGCGCGCGGGCGATGCGCTTACAGCTTTTTTATATTGAGGTTATGAAACATGTCATGCGTCATACGATTTAAAGTTCATATTATTTTGATGACAATGACGTTGGTTAGGGTTGGAGACATGCCGGAGCCGTGCTTGTTAGGTGTGCATTATACTGTTTCACAGCCCGGTATAATAACTTTGCTTACGACCAGGCGAGATAGTAGCGATACATTGACCTTTCAAGTATAAAAACAAACTCCACAAAGGAATGTTTCATCAGTGAAACTTGCGGACATTCAAGTAGCAAGATCATATTATTTGTAACTTTATTCTGACTTGCCTGCCTCGTCGGCTGAGTGGTCGCAAGTGCGAGGGGTCTCGGATTTGATTTCCGGGTCGGGCAAAGTAGTACTGGGTTGTTTCAAAAAATCTTAGTTGTAGTACGGAGTCTGGAAATGTGTCCGGTATATGGCAACAGGCTCACCGCCATTACATGGGACTCATAACATAAATAGTGAAAAGTGGGTGTTACATTGTACAGAGGCATTTAAGTGCCGTAATGTGCACCTCTGCCTACGCCTTCGGGGATAAAAGGCTTGAAGTTAAGTTATGTCATTCTAACTTGAAATGTCAGGTAACGTATGCCGTAAACACCTTGTACGTACTTGTGTCTGCATCTGTCCACAACAGATGCAATACTGACTTCACCACTGTTACTTAATTCACGACCGTCACCAGCGCCACCACCTCCACAACCGCCACCACCGCCAGCACCCGATGCTGAAGCTGGCAACATATTCGATGAAATTCTCCAATACTTCGCGAAGCAATATCCTGCACAGCGTTTTCCTCCCGATGTTGCGCGCCTTGTGGACAGGTGTCGCCAGGAGGCAAGTAGATTGGTAAGCCATTGTTTCATACTGTTTATGACATTTAGATTTGATATCTCCCTGCCTTATACCTTGCGTTGGAGGATTAAGCCCTCAGGTGCTGCATCGGATCGAATAGTGACGTTTTTATAGAAACTTTTCAGCACCTCGATCTGCGACTGAGCTAACAGGTTTAGTAATAGGGTAGATGACTAATTTTTATTTTAATGTCCGTCTAGTAGGTTATTAATTAAAACATTAGACACGTATTTTTTCTTTTTTTACAGAAACGATTACTTTCGGACGATATATTGTTTTGAAATGTCGCGTGACGTCACTTCTACGGACATTTTATACGTAGAAATGACGTTTTAGCCCCCTCTCCTAAACTTTGATTCGTTTTATCTAAGTATCATTTTATTATACAACAAAATAAAAAAATACGTGTCTAATATTTTTTAATTGCCTAACTGACGCACTTATTACATTTTTAATTTTCATATCCGGTCATCAACCCCATTGACACGTATAACTACGATAAATTTTCATAGAAATTTGCACTTTTATCGATGCTACTCTTGTACTACGATACTCCGCCTTCACCTTTGTCGACTGTGTCCAATGCTAGTATGTTGTTAATATTGGACAAAGCATTAACAAAACTGAGTAAACAAGATAAGCATTTCATCAATAAATTCACCTATCACTTGTTTTTAAGGTTGCGAGTGCCAACGCACAGTCTACGGGATCAAGTTATGTCGCTGGCAGCAACCAGAATGGTAAGTTAAACATTTATTTATATCTACTAATGAAAGTCACATAGCCAGCTACAATTCATTTTAAAAGAAAGAAAAAAATTCATTTATTTTTGCATAACGAGCTTATTTACCGGAGGGGTACAGGGCCACGTTGAATGTAGGTACCTAACTAACTGACAAACATTCGCAAGGTACTCATATTAATTTAGAAAGATTAGACTTCTTGCTTAGTCGCTTCTACTGAGAATTTCGAAAATTGAAACAATAATGTTGGTACTCTCTCCAATGACTGCCTCGTTGGCCGTCGCAAGTGCAACTGCCGGGCAAGGGGTCTCGGGTTCGATTCCCGCGTCGAGAAGTACTACTGAGTTTTTAAAAAAATCTCAGTAGTAGCACGGAGTCTCGAAATGTGCCCGGTATATGGCAATAGGCTCACCCCCTATTACATGGGACTCATAACATAAATAGTGAAAAGTGGGTGTTACATTGTACAGTGGCATTGAGTGCCGTAATGTATCTGCCTACCCCTTCGGGGGTAAAAAGCGTGATGTTACGTTGTGTATAAAGTTGTTGCACGACCCGGGAATATGACTTAAAACTTCAGCCACTGAAGTGGTGAGGTAAGCACATCGTCAGGTATTAACATACGCAAGAACTTATTGTAATCCTACTCTTACTTGAAATATTAGCTAATATAGTATAAGCTCCTGGTATACTTAGTTACTTATCCACTGCAGATGCTGTACAGGGTTCATCACCACCACCACCGCCACCGCTACCGCCACCACCGCAGGCACGGCCGCTACCACCGCCACTAGAGCGGATGCGACTTATAACCGCTAGCCCACCGCTACATGCCAAACAGCCGTCAGTCTATGAGAGCTCGGAAATATCACTTCGCAAATTATTAAGGAATCGCGAGAAAACCAGAGGCATGCCTCCAGTTACGGGAGATGATTTGACACTAGTCGAGTTAAGTAAATTTTTGTACGAACTCGAAAAGGTGAAGCTCTATCATGAGAGTGAGATACAGAGGCTACTGGAGGTAGGACGACTCCAACATGTTCACCAATACACTGTGCTGTTAGAGCAATCGTTAAGAACGATACTGGGGAACGTACATGAAGCACGGATGCGACGACCAAATCAGGAATCTGGGATGCGACGACTCGAATTTGTTCGCGAATACTTCGAGTTGTTACATCAATTGAATACTGTTACTCAACGCATCACTGCTGAAATAGCACAGTATCGACAGTGAACTGTCCTCGTGTTACGTTGTATTAAACGTAAACCAAATTTTATTTTTTTATACGATTTCTATGTGATCTTAATGAAATTTTTTGAGAAGAAAACACCTATTAATACTTTGCATGATCCAGGAATCGAAACCGAGACCCACGTTCGCCAATTGCACTTACCGTCATTTCACCAGGCCTCTTGTGTATGCATATTAAATGATTGAACAAAATAATGTTGTTTTTGATTCCATATAATGTTACGATACATTACTTCCTTATTATAAAACGATCCTAATAATATAACATTAGCTGCTGACTACCTCGTTGGCTAACTAGTGCCAAGGTTACACATTTTAAATCCATTCAGTTTACCATGGCATAACGTCATTGTTATATGGCAGTTATTTCATACATTTAACCTGCCAGAATTTCCAGGGTACAACCCGGCTGTCTGTCTTGTGTAAATAGGTTGCTTATAGGAAGGCGTACTCCATCATCGGCTACCTATAAGCCATCTTTTGCTTACCACAACATTGCTTACCACCTTGTGAATTACTGGCCAAACACTTGGCATGGATAAAAAACCCTACTAGACTCTACTCTAAAAGAAAAAAGAGGTTTCTTTCGGAGACTAGAAGGCGTGATGCTGAGTACATTAGATAGCAACTGCAAGGACACTACTACATATCCTAGTTCTCCAGTTAAGGACAAGGCACAAGGGATGTATGTAAGAAACTTGGATGAATGATAAAACATCAGTAAAAAACCAAAGCATTTTATTTCAATTAATATAATCAATGCACTTAGAACATACTTTCAAAGCAAAGTCCCCGTGTATAGAAGAACGAACAAGAAATTCCGAAAGATTAAACATTAAAAAATGTGGATATGTACATGAAATATTATACAATAAAACAAAAATAGGTTTATATGAAAGAATTAAAGAAAAATATTCATGTGTACACATACACACGTATCTGCGGAACTAATGAATGAATTTCAATAAAATATTTTTATTGCGTAGCTTATACCAAACCTGGACAACATAATATATTACATTAGTTTTAGAAACTGAAAAAAATAAAGTCTAACAGCAGTCAGTACTCTTCGCAGACGGAGTTGCGGGCAGAAACTAGTTTACAAAAAAATAATAATAGTTACAGGGTGTAAGCGGAACTCTCCCGAAAACGCAGACAGGTGGTTCTAAAAATCGAGTTTTATTTTGAATAGTAAGGAATTTAATGTTTATTTTATCTATATACATATATATATACTAGCTGACCCGGCAAACTTCGTACCGCCTAAAAGTTTTTTCTCACCTTTTAAACCTTCCCTAGACTTCCAGGAACCTATCAAGACCAAAATTATCCAAATCAGTTCAGCCGTTCTCGAGTTTTAGCGAGACTAACGAACAGAAATTCATTTTTATTTATATAACTAGATAACTAGATAAAAATGAAACCCCTTTCCCGCTGTCACGCCATAACTTGAAAACGGCTAGACCGATTTGGGTGATCTTTTTTTTGTTGTATTTGTTATTGTCAGGAGAAAGTTCTTACGACAGAAAAAAACCTGAAAATCCTACAGTACCGGGAGAAAACGGGACTGCGCGTACGAAGTCGCGGGCAGAAGCTGGTGTAGGTATTAATAGTTGTTATCAACTGCTCAAGGCTGATGTTGCACGAATAACGCGAATAAAAAATGCTTAAAACTGTAAAATTGTCTGCGTTTTCGGCAGCGTCCCGTTTACACCCTGTATTGTTGCCCTCCTTGTATCGTGAACGAATGCTCGAGAAAACTGCTTCCGTCGTCGGCACACCAAGTAGAACACGCCTGAAGGGTGTTATAAGTATTTTGTTGCTAGCTATAGACTCCTTATGTAATCTCTTATAAATATCGACCAAGTCCTTAATCTGGAACACTTGATGACAGTCTGATAGAATATACTGCGTAGTTGTTAGTATATTGTTTTCTATTAGGAAATACTTATCTAAGTGATTGAGTACATGAACTAGTAAGTCAGCGTTCCACTTCCACGAATATTGTCCATACCGTTGTATGTACTGAAATGCCAATAAAGGCTGTATTAGATTCTTATTAGCAAACGCATGTACTTTACATCGAATTGACTAAAGCGTTTGATAAAATAATAATTCAAAACTACACTACAAAAGATCGGCATCACAGACGCACTGTTAAATTGGTTAAACTGTCAAACACCAAGCGGTCACCGGTGACCGCAACCTATTGTTCTATAATTGTGTCTACAAAACCTTAGTACCTACCTTATCGACCTTTCTATGTATGTAGTGGGTAATAGTAAATTGGTACGAGTAAAATCTTTTATTAAACCCCAGGAATGCCTCAGGATTATTCAACTATTTTATTAATAAAAACTCGTCAGCAAAAATTAAAGTTTAAGGTATGTTGAAGTCAAATGGGTTGACAGAAGATTAAATTAAGGTAAGCAATAAAACTCCATGAAACGTGTAAAGAAAAAAGTACTTGATCTGAAAAATGGGAAAACGATAGACAATATTATAATAAAGAAATAAAACAAAATCTTTCCAGGAAAGAGATTTATTATTACCCAAGTACCTAAGCAGTATTATATCAGTAGACTGACGTATCCTGAAGCCGGCTTATCGATTGACTCGCGCTAGTGTGTATGTAGCGTCCGCGCCATTCAGCCGCTGTTTGCGAATTATTAATTGAAACAAAACTTAATAATTACAATATTTGTACAAGACCGACTGTGACAAGATCCAGCAACATCTTTAATGTGATCACAAGGTAATACATTTATTAGTTTTCGTATAATTCCATGTACTGTGCTGTGCACGTGCCAAGAAACAATGCGAGGTTGTTTCTTTTGTTTAATTATCCTACAGGTTACGGCGAGATGTGTTTACTTATTTTAAAATATTTCAATTATATGTTATAATATGTAAATGAAATCAATTAGACCCATCAGTCAGGACAGTGTTCCAGAAGTTATCTGAACACGATAACTAACTGGACAGACAGCTTGTCTGTGAGTGTGTTGTTTGTTTTACTTATATGTACACACACCGGCACATAGCTTTACATACGTTAGGTATAAGTGATATAGTGGACTCCAATGAAGTTAAAATATTTTTATTAATTTAATCAGTTTTGTCTATTGGAGTCCTAGGAACCACATCGCCCAGTACAAGAAAAACAATGTAAGTTACAAGTACGTTATTTATCAATTCATTAGTCCCTCATTCCCTATTTTAATTATTTATTTTACGCTTTGTGTACATAATACATAGAATGGGGTGTGGAACTGGAAGACAGCTTGCCTAATTAAAATGAATTTGCTAACAGTCCGTTCACCTTAGAGTGATACAGAGATGCGTGCCAGTTTGCGTAAAACTTTTGCATAAACAGAAAATGAAAAAAAAACACTATCAAATCATCATCATCACTATCAGTAAGTAAATATCCCACTGGTGTAAAAAGGCCTCTCCTCGCACAGAGAAGGAATAATCAAAACTTATAATAGGTAGGTACACAAAATTGGTTCTCCCATTGCAATTGCACTCGTTAGTAACACAGGCCTCTAGATTAGTCCAAGCGTTTGTTATCTTTTATAGGCATTCAGATTAAGAAATACCTAGATAATCTAGATAAGTTATTTGTACCCAAATATCTTTATCTTTTGTTCCCAGAATTACAATCTTTAGGTACCTACGTGCCATATGTATGAACTTAAAAACAATTCAGTTTACTGATAGGTTACCGGTACTGGTTCACCGCGCCTATTTAAGCCTTTGACGCCCGAGAGAAAACCGCTGAAGGCAAATCCTCCGCTAACGTAGGTTACCACAATCTCCTTGGGCCTGCGGATGGCGAACATGGGTCATGGGTAGCTCGCCGCCCGACCAGAACCAGACCTGAGCATGTGGCGCGTCGCGTTCCGCGCGCGCCTCAAACAACCATCAGACCACCACGGATGGGGCCCAATAGGAGTCGCGGAGAACCTAACGGGTTACCGGGGCTCCGGCTCGAACTGTAGGAGTAGGAACGGGGTGGTTTCTAGTCAGTAAGAGTCTGACACCCTTCCCGCCTCACCCAGGCGGGAGCATTCATTCGATGATTTTCCCCACTTAAAAAAAACGTAGATCACCGGTGACCTATCCGCGGCGGTTAACGTGTTAATCGGACGGATCACCGTCTGCTCATTCAAAACGACTGTAGGTATATGCACATCTTTAAAGTTGAACTAGCGATAATTAACAACCCGTTGCTTCATACGTGCTCCGTGGCGTGACGATACGCCTGTGCCAGTCCTACTGCACGGTTGGCGTGGTGGCTGGGCAACCGGTTGCTGATTACCAGGCGAGCAAAATGCAGGCAGCAGGGGCGCGTGATGCCTGCATTTTTTTTAATAGAAATTAAAATGTTATTGTTCATGCTCTTCCGTTCATAGTGGGCGGCGGTGCTATGGTATCTGTCAAGATATAGATGATTAATGATGGAATAATTATTTTTAGATGACTGGAAACGACCGACATTACGTTGAATATGGCGATGGTAGCGGTCCCTCCGAGGTAACTATGTGTTACTTATTCTTCTTATTACATTTATTTATTTATTTAGACATCTGGTAGCTAAGCCACGACGACATACCTGTCGTTTTATTTTTATTGTTATGTTTTTGTGCTTATAGATATTTTAAATTACGTAATTATTTTGAGATATTTGTAAATAACATCACGCCTTTCATCCCCGAAGGGGTATGCCAACGAAGCATATTTGGAAATCATAGGATAAAATGGTGTTCACAGACAATTAGCCTTAATGCCAAACTAGCGACCAACGCTGGAGATGGCGACATAGCCGATAAACTTCTCCAGTACATCAGGGAACGATATCCTGGACCACAGCGCCTTCCTCTTGACGTTGTGCGCCTTGTCAACTTCTGCCGAAAGGCAAATAATTCGGTGAGTTATATTCCATATAAGGGTGCTTACATCAAGAAACAGTACTGTAACTTATACTTATTCCATTGGATAATGGGACATTTATAAAGTAATATTTATGGAAAAAAGGAATATATGTACCTATTACCTAATAATATTAAGTATTTTCAAAAAATAAGCTTTTAAAGGCAAAACATCTTTTGAAATTGGTTTAGTAATTTTGAAGACTACATGTTGAACAGAGAAACAGTAAACTCTGTGATCTTAATTGTCATCTAAATTAATTTAAATAGGTATTTCACACAAGTCCTGTTCATTTTCAGGTTTCACCATCCAAGAAAAGAAAAAATACACGTTTCTCGCAAGATCCAGAATACTTAGCAAGGAAGAAGAAATTAGACGAACTTCAGTCTAAATTGTCAAAGTCTAAGGCAGAATTTCGTGACTTCATGGTCTCTAAACAGGTAAAGAATCGAAAGGAACTCATACAAAGACATCAGCGTCGGCTGCAAAATAACGTACAAAAACTTACGGATTACGCAGAAAAGAACAATATCGATGTAGACAAAGATATTTCAGATTTAAAAATACAGATAATGAACTCAGGCGAGGGTAAAGATAAAGAAGAAAAGAATAATATAAAAACTAAACCAGATGATGAAAATAAGCGTCTGAAAAATAAGCGAGGCCAGATAATAACTAAAAAGCAGAAAAGCGTCGGGGAAATGCAACATGAATATGACTTGATGAAACAAAAATCTGAAAAGAAAATTAGAGATTTGCAAGAGCACCAAGCTGAGGAAAAAATAAGAATACAACACGAAATTCACAGAATTAAGAAACGAGAAGAACAAGTCATCCGCATTATCAAAACACTCCAGGAAAAAGTTAATAAAAAATTGATGAAGGAAAAAACAAGTCATGTTATTAAAATACAAGAATGGCGTAAAAAAAGGAACGAACTTCAGCAACAATATATAATAGCTAGTTCTGAGCTAAACAAAAAAATTGAGAAATTTATTAGAATTAAAGATGAAAAGGAAAAAGAAATTCACGAAAAAATTAAAAGTCTTCACGAAAAAGAAACACAGGAGAGGGAGGGCTTGAAAGAAAGAATTAAACAATTGCAAAATACTTATGATAGTGAAAAGATAGAATTCGAAAACAAAATGCGAATTTTACAACACCAAGAGGATGAAATTAAATATAAAATATATAACAAAATACAAACTTTGAAACAACGTCAACAAAGAAAGGAGGAAGAAAAAAATAAAAATATCCAGAGTTTATTAAACTTTTTAGCTGAAAATAAAGAAGACTTTAATAAAAATGTACAAAATATAAATCAATGCTTGGCAACGGAAGATAGTATAATAAAAAAAGAAATAGAAAACAATAAAAAACGTGAAGCTAAGGCACGACTTGATATGGAGAATAAAATTAAAGATTTAAAAAACCAACTAGCTGAAGCTGAAACTCATGCTAAGCAGAATATCGAGAGAATGAAACGACAGGTAGGTGAGAAAGAGACGGAATATAACATTAAAATACAGGAATTAGAAGCAAAAGAAAAGAAAATTAACGCAGAGACAGATACGAATATGTTTGTGTTGAAAATCAATTTTGATGTAGCTCAAAACGAACTCAATAGAAGAATCCAATTATTAAAACAAGATGAATCTTTAAAAAAGCAGCAACTAGAAGCTGATATGAAGCGTTTGCAAGATATTGAAGAAGACACAAAGGCTAATATTAAAGAATTGGAAGATCAATTAGTGAAACATTCGAATGAAATCGACCAAGAAGAACAAAGAAGTGCTGATGTAATAGCCGAATGCCAAAAAGAAATAAAAAAAGCTATTGAAGTTCAAAAAAATAAGAAAAAAGCCATGGACCAAAATATTACTAATTTAGAAATTACACTAATTAAGCTAAAATCGGACGTGGAGGAAAGTTGTAAGATAAAAGAACAAAGAGAGCAAGAATTACAAACAATGAAAAACATTGAAACACAAAAGAAACTTGAGCTACAAAATATCATCAAAACATTAGAAGATGAGTTAACTGCATATAGAGTTCAATTCGATGAAAGTATTAAGACGATTCAAATGCAAGAAGCTATAAAAACCAGGGAAGTTCAAACTTAAATTGAAAGCTTTATAGAAATCAAAGCTCAGCAGGAAGATATTCACAGGAGGAATCTGAAAACATTTCAAATGTCAGTGGACAATCAAAGGAAACAATTTCATAGGGAAATTGAGGCTTTGCAGCAGATTGAGGCTGAAAAGACCCACAAGATAGAAAACGATATACAAAACCTCCAAGCTACTAAGGAAAGGGTGCGCGCCGAGACCGAGAGCAATATCGCTGCGCTACGACAACATGAAGAGCAGACGAGAATAGAAATTGAAAATGAGATACAAAACTTCCGGGAACAAGAGAAGATAGAGCGCGCTCAGATAAAGATCAATATTGCTGCACTTCAAGAAGATAAAGCGCAGAGACGAATGGAAATAGAAAGAGAGATACAAAGCCTCCGAGAAGATGAACAGAGAGTACGTGCCGAAACAGCCAGCAACATCACTGCACTACAACAACATGAAGCGTAGAAGAGAAGGGAAATTGAGAGTGAGATACAAATCCTCCGAGAAAATGAGGCGAGAATACGCGCCGAGACTATCAGTAACATCGCTATTATGTTGTAGGCTAAATCTGATGTCCAAAGTAGTATAGCTCAACTCGAGAAACTTTATGTTGAGACAAAACAAGCACACGAAGCAGATATTGAGGACTTGAAACGACAAGAAGCTGAAGAAAGGGCTACTATTGAGGAGAATATTAAAGCGTTGCGAGATGACTTGGTTTTGAGAAAAGAAGAATTTCATATAGTCATAGACTCTCTGCAACAAGACGAGTACAGAATACAGAGAGAAATCGAAGCTGAAATTGAAAAACTGGACGATGCTGAGACCAACAGGAGAGAAGAACACAATAAAATTGTCAATGACTTGAAGTTTAAGTTGCGCGAAAAGAAATCTCAATTACATTCTGAAATTCAAAGTATACATGAAATTGAAGTTCAAACAAGAGAACAAATAGAGGGACACTTCCAAGCTCTGGAAGCTATACTAGCTGGGACCATGAACAGATAGTGTAATAAGCAGATGTTAGTTTTTATAATAATGCGCTCCAGTCACTTTAATATTTTTATTGTTCACTCTCTATATATCTCTGTCTGACCACGAAAAATTTGGTCATGGTTCGTGTCGGGACAATGATACAGATTATGAGCTAGAATAGTTTTAAGTAGTATAATGTTTCAAAATCGACATAATTATAGATATATGATAGTGCATGTTGTAAGTTAATTAACTATGTACAGAATATTTTATAAAAGCTTTTTTATTAAATGTTCCTTGTGAATCAGTGTTTTATTGAGAGTTGAAAATAAAGTAATTTCCTCATTTTTTAATAGAAATAACCCCAACGAGGCAAAGAGAAGTTATAGACTCCACTAAATACACGTGCCATATAAAAATGATTTACTCATTTTAATAGTAGTTATAAGCTTGTAGTAGGTATAAGCGAGCGACGGAGCCCAGCTGCTGGGGCTGCTACTTCTGTCTACAGAGTTTAAGTACCTTACGAATGGCGTTACCACTGCAATGCAATGATAGAATCCAAATTCTGTCCTATCTGTCTACTCTGCCTGGTTGCCCATATGTTCTGCTTCTTGGCTAGGTAGGAACTTGATTTGCCGTGCCAACTAAAAGAAAAAAATTATGTGACAAGATCTGCAAACATGATGACGGTTTACGTTTCATTCTACGGGTTGATGTTGATTTTTCTAGAAAAACAAATTAATTACGAATTCACGAAATGATTTCATGATGGTGTTGATGGTGAATGGCGAAGTCCCTTGCTCTGCACATCCAGAAACCATGAATAGTTACAACTTATTTCTTGATCTTAATTAACTTATTTATTTATAAGTATGTACGTGTCATATTTCTAACCTACGCAGTAGTTTATCAGTGGAGTGACGCATCCTGAAGCCGGCTTATTGATTGCTTTGCGGTAGTTTGAACGCAGTGTCCGTGCAGTTTAGGCGCTGTTTGTGAATTATTATTTATCGTTTAGATTTAATTACTTTATAAATAACAATATTTCTACAAATACAGGTGAGATAGGATTCAGCAACGTCTTCTTTGAATGTGATCCGAGGTAAGAAAATAGCTTTCGTGCGGTTAGATTTGTGAGATTATAAAAATCAGTTTTGTAAAAAGAGTAACGATGGAGTTTCTAGCTCGTTCTTCTCCATTCGAAACTACCCTTTGGTAAGAGCACGTAGCTTCCATAACAATTCATGTTGACATTTCGAAAGTGCCTAATCGAGGTTTAATTGAAATAAATTCTTTGACTTTACATGTGCCTCGGTCGTGTTGTTTAGTGATGCAAGTTTAGACGTAGTTTCTGTTATCAGTGTACCTAATAAATGCGTAGGCACTCTAGAAACTCTTATAGATTCGATATAGGCAGTACATAAGACAATATTATAGAAAAGTCTAGTCATTTCACACACTCACACTCGGATTTCCTTCTGTGTCGTGATTGTGTTCACAAAAATACACACACACCCAGACCCGGCACAACGATTTGTGCATCACACAAAAAGTTTTTCAATTCCTTACTTTAGACTTTTCCAATTTGTTATCTTTTATGCCTATAAATGTTGGCATGAATGCCTATTCAGACCAACAAAGACTTTAAATAATCTAGATAAGGCATCTCTACCCAATTTATTTTATCTTTACTGTACGGAAGGACCGATAGTATAATCTGTAGTCTAGGGTACTCCCCGAACGTCGGTAGTGCGCTGTCAATCCGAGGAATGATATCCTATTAATATTGTAAATGCTTGATTTCCTATTAATATTGTAAATGCTATAGTTTGTATGTTACTCCTACACGTCAAACGGCTGAAGGGATCGGGATATGGAACAGGGGTAGAATATGGTCTGGAACAATATATAATATAGGCTACTTATTGTACCACGGGGACGCGGGCAAGGATAGTTTATGACAAGGATCATAATATTATAAATAATGGAATATTTTATTAATCGACGTCCCACAAAGGGGGAGGTTATCAAGTTTGTTGTATGTTGCTTTTTTATGTTACGCGATTACTTCGGCGTCTATGGACGGATTTGAATGATTCGTTTTTGGTTTTATAAGATTATACTCTCGAGGTGGTCCCATTTCCACCAGGTCAGGTCATGATGTACAGCCCACATGGGTGGGCTGTACATTTTCTAAGTGGGGAAATCATCCAATCACTTTTCCCGCCCGGGTGAGGCGAGAGGGAGTGTCAGACTCTTACTGACTAAAAACCACCCCGTTCCTACTCCTGCACTTCGAGCCGGAGCCCCGGCAACCCGTTAAGTCTTCCGCAGCTCCGTTTTGGCATCAGCCCTGTTGGGCCCCGTCTGTGATGGTCTGATGGCTCCTAGAGGCGTGCGCGGAACGCGACGCGCCGTACGCTCGGGCCTGGTTCTGATCGGGCGACGAGTCACCCGTGCTCGCCGTCCGCAGGCCCGAGCTGAAGGTGACCGGAGATCGTTTCGCGATCCCCGACTCCCAGAATGTCTCTCGCGACGGCTAGGGCGTATGTGGACTGTAAATAGCATAATATCTTAGTACTAAACTAAAAAGTATAAAATAAAAATAAATACTGCGTTTAAAAAACTGACTACAAAAACTGAAAAGCAAAATCTAATTATTATTGGCCATACGTACTTATAGAAAGGAAGAAAGAAAATCCATTTATTAGGCCACGCGCTACAAGAATACCCACCACAAGAATACACACAAAAAAGCCCATGATGCGTCGCAGTGCAAAAGGCTGGAGCTCAGCTTAAGCTTGGAGCAGCTCCTTATAGATTATACACCCACCGATAGGTTAAACGTCGGTGCCACCACCTATAACAAAATACAACTTAGGTAATGGTCACAGGTATATCCAAATATATGACTCAAAGGTGACTTGCTGACTGACTCAGTGATCTATCAACGCACAGCCCAACCCACTGGACGGATCGGGCTGAAATTTGGCATGCATTTAGATATATGACATAGAATTGATCTGCTAAGAAAGGATTTTGATCATTTTCACTCCCGAAGAGGGAATGAAAGTTTGTATGAAACTTTGTCAATTTGAAACTGATCGGTCTGGGACTTTGAATCTTTTCAAACCTAACCCTATGGGGATAAAATACGGGATGAAAGTTTGTATAAATCTCCTAAGCCATTGAACCTATTGAATTTATAATCATTCATTGATTCTTTTTTAAATTCGGTAAAACGATAATTTAAGACCTGGGAAATGATGTATGATAGTTTTTATCACAGAATTCCCACGGGAACGGGAACTGTATGTTAAAGCCCTGGGACTCTCTATCTCTTAAACTGTCAAACACCGCGAGGACACCGGTGATCGCAACCTATTGTTCTTTAATTGTGTCTATAATGACGGTGCTCAACGAGTTAAACTAAACATATTTTAGAGAGTACAACGATACAATAATAGTCGATAGAATAGTTTTTATCCGTAAAACCTTACGGGAACGGGCACTGTACCGGTAAAATCCCTGCGAGATTATTCCTGTTTTGAAACCACGATTTGTTTTTTTTTTTAATTTTTATGGGAAAAGCCGGTAAACGAGCAGACGGATCACCTGATGGTAAGCAATCGGCGTCGTCCATGGACACCTGGAACTCCAGAGGCGTTACAAGTGCGTTACTGGCCTTTTGGGATTAGAAATTTGAGGATTGGGGAAGGGGAGGGGGGGCTAATTGGGCCTATAACCTCACTCAAACAACGAAACACAACGCAAGCGTTGTTTCACGTCGGTCTTCTGTGAGGCCGTGGTATTCCTTCGGTCGAGCCGGCCCATTCGTGCCGAAGCATGACTCTCCCACACTTATAGCACAATAAATATAAAATATTAATTTCACAATAAACACTCACTCAATTGTGATGAATTCTACACGGACGAAGCCGCGGGCTACAGCTAGTTCCTGATTAGAATTGTAAACAGCTTTAAAATGTTCGGATCTATTAAGGTTTTACTGAATAATATTGTTTAAAACTTGTGTACATACTGTAACTAGCCGTGGAAATCTATGATTATATAATTATAAATATATAATTTTAAAATGATATTAATCTTATATCTTATTACCCAAATTGAAATAAATTGAAAATAACATATTCACAGATGACTGACGTTATTGCCGAATCTGTACTTGATGCTGAGCATGGTGACATAGACAACGAATTTCGTCAGTACCTCAACAAAGAATATCGGGAACAGCGTGTTCGTCCCGATATTGCACATTCTGCCAACCTCTGTCGCCGGGAGGCAAAACAATGGGTAAGTCGAACACACATTGTTCCTCACTCGCAGTTCCACGTTGTGTCTTGCTCGTTCTTCTCCAGAGTTCAGTAAATCCGTACCTTAGACGAGCAAATAACATCACATCAACTTCACGGACCGACAGACGACGCATACTGACAGTTGGTGTTAAAGTTGGTATTAAGTACCTATTAAATGAATATGATTAATTTAAAAAAGATTATATGGTAACTCATATTTTTATTGCGCGAAATGGGCATGACTTTCCACCTTAAAATCGATTTATTTGTAAGGCTAACTGAATGAAATGATTAAAATTTGAAGAAATATACCGACCGACATGTATGTAAAAGTCAGTACGTATCTATCTCTTTTCCGATTATACATATCATTTACTACTGAACAGCCATCTGTATCTGTAAGACACTGCAGTTTGATCAGTACAGTTGTAGTTATATATGCACCTTTTGTATTTCCTGTGGATCGAGTGCTGCACTCTGTCGGTCAAACCAACCTTCCTAGTTGTGAACTCATGCAGTTCGTGGTAGCGCGGCGGTATGGTGTTAGCACGCACTGGTACACAATATTGAATGGAGTGAATGATGGAATATTTATCAATTTGCAGACGTCTGGAACCGACCGTGCACCTGACGCTGAGCATGGTGACGGCAGCGGTCCGTCTGAGGTGACAAAGGATCCAGTGAGTTAAAACATTGTAATATTTCAATAAGTGCTTGTTCAGGTTGAACGCGCGGGTGCGATGGGGATGTGGGCTCGGTAGATGTCATGAACCCGTGTTCACTCAATAAGTTCGATGGCTGAACTTACCTGACACACACAAATGTCTTTAGACGTTTGACACCACCGCGAGCGGGCCGAGCGCGCCAGTCGCTCGATTGCCCGCAACTTTCACCGCACTTGCGTTTTGTACAAATTTGCATGTTATAATTAATTATGTTTGATATTTCGCGACCTCGCCCGCGAGTCAGCGTGAACAAGTATGAAGTCTTATGATTGTTTGTAAATGTTTGATAAATCAGTCTATGGTCTGGATATTTTGATACTATATCTTATATCTTTCCTTTTATTAGTTAGAACGATTTCTAGAACCAGATTCCAGGCCCTCTGCCGGTTAGCATCTGTGATCTTGTGTACCTTGATTATTTTCTGCTTTATATATAAATAGCGAACTAACGAAAACAACATCGCTTACATATATTTTCTGCTTTTCCTCAGAACAAGAAACCACAAAAGAAAAGGAAAAATAATAGCAGCCCAGAGCATATGGAATACGAATTAAAAAGAAAAATATGCGAAGAAAGTCGATCGGTATATAAAAGGAATTTGCAAGAACGTAATGCTGTCAAACAATATATTATCATAAGTCAAACACTTGAACAACTGCACAACCAAATAATCAAATATGAAAATATAAAACGTGCACAAGACAACGATTTGCTTAAATTTAAAGAAACAGAAAAAAGGTATGAGACTGAATTCAGCAAAATTAAACAAAGACGAGCACAGGAGCAGAAAGAGAGGCAAAAAGAACGCGAAAAATTTGAATTTAAAAAAGGTAAAATCGAAGAAGAAATACAGCAGCAAAAAGAAAAGTATGACAAGGAGAAAAAAGTGATGGATAAACGTCTCGAGAAATTGAAAAACGAATTAACTCAAGCAAAACGAGATTATGATATACAGAAGTTATTGAACGGATTTCAAACAGAAAAACTAAAAGTCGAAGAGAAAATACAGAAGCATAAAGAAAAGTATGACAAAGAGAAAAAACTGACCGAACAAAGCCGCGAGGAATTGAAAAACAAACTAACTCAAGTACAAAAATATTTGTCTGCAGCTGAAAATCAAGTAAAACAAAGTATTGAAGAAATGAAACGAGAGGCAGGTGAGAAGGAGAAGGAATTGATTATAAAAATACAGGAAGTAAAAAGAATTGAAGATGAAAAGAAAAAAGAGATTTACGAAAAAATTAAAAGTCTTGACCAAAAAGAAAGACAGGAGAGAGAGAGTATGCAAAAAAGAATTGAACAATTGCAAAACACTTGTGATGGTAAAAAAATAGAGTTCGAAAACAAAACGCGCATTTTAGAATGCGAGGAGAGTGAAATGGAAAATGAAATATATAACAAAATACAATTTTTGAAAGAATGTCAAGAAAAAAAAGAAGAAGATATAAATAAAAATATCGAGGCCTTAAAAATCGCTTTAGCTCAAAATAAAGAAAAAATTAACAAAAATATACAAAACATAAATCAATGCTTGGCAACGGAGGATAGTATAATAAGAAAAGAAATAGAAAACAATAAGAAACGTGAAGCTAAGGCACGATTTGATATGGAGAATAAAATTAAAGATTTAAAAAACCAACTAGCTGAAGCTGAAACTCAAGCTAAGCAGAATATCGAGAGAATGCAACGAGAGGCAGATAAGAAGGAGAAGGAATTTTATATTAAAATGCAAGAATTAAAAGCAAAAGAAAAAGAAATTAACACAGAGACAGAGAAGAAAATTGGTCATCTAGAAAAGACATATCAAGATGAAATAATCACGATACAACAACACGAAATAAAGGTGCAAAAGCACTTAGAACAAAATAAGCAAATTTTAAAACAAGCAGTGTTGGATAGAAAAACAGAAAGCCAGAATACAATTCTTGTATTGAAAAACAATTTTGCTATAGATCGAAACGAACTAAATAAAACAATTCAATTATTAAAACAAGATGAGTCTGTAAAGAAGCAGTTAGTAACAGCTGAAATTAAGCGTTTGCAAGATATTGAAGACGACACAAATGCTAAAATTAAAGCATTGGAAGATCAGTTAGCGAAACTTTCCAATAAAATCGAGAAAGAAGACCAAAGAAGTGCCAAGGTAATAGCCGAACGCCAAAAAGAAATAGAAAAAGCTATGGAAGCTCAAAAACATAAAAAAATTGCCATGGACCAAAATATTACTAATTTAGAAATTACACTAATTAAGCTAAAATCGGACGTGGAGGAAAGTTGTAAGATAAAAGAACAAAGAGAGCAAGAAATACAAACAATGAAAAACATTGAAACACAAAAGAAACTTGAGCTACAAAATATCATCAAAACATTAGAAGATGAGTTAACTGCATATAGAGTTCAATTCGATGAAAGTATTAAGACGATTCAAATGCAAGAAGCTATAAAAACCAGGGAAGTTCAAACTGAAATTGAAAGCTTGAGAGAAACCAAAGCTCAGCAGGAAGATATTCACAGGAGGAATCTGAAAACATTACAAATGTCAGTGGACAATCAAAGGAAACAATTGCAGAGGGAAATTGAGGCTTTGCAGCAGATTGAGGCTGAAAAGACCCACAAGATAGAAAACGAAATACAAAACCTCCAAGCTACTAAGGAAAGGGTGCGCGCCGAGACCGAGAGCAATATCGCTGCGCTACGACAACATGAAGAGCAGACGAGAATAGAAATTGAAAATGAGATACAAAACTTCCGGGAACAAGAGAAGATAGAGCGCGCTCAGATAAAGATCAATATTGCTGCACTTCAAGAAGATAAAGCGCAGAGACGAATGGAAATAGAAAGAGAGATACAAAGCCTCCGAGAAGATGAACAGAGAGTACGTGCCGAAACAGCCAGCAACATCACTGCACTACAACAACATGAAGCGCAGAAGAGAAGGGAAATTGAGAGTGAGATACAAATCCTCCGAGAAAACGAGGCGAGAATACGCGCCGAGACTAACAGTAACATCGCTATTATGTTGAAGGCTAAAACTGATGTCCAAAGTAGTATAGCTCAACTCGAGAAACATTATGGTGAGACAAAACAAGCACACGAAGCAGATATTGAGGACTTGAAACGACAAGAAGCTGAAGAAAGGGCTACTATTGAGGAGAATATTAAAGCGTTGCGAGATGACTTGGTTTTGAGAAAAGAAGAATTTCATACAGTCATAGACTCTCTGCAACAAGACGAGAACAGAATACAGAGAGAAATCGAAGCTGAAATTGAAAAACTGGACGATGCTGAGACCAACAGGAGAGAAGAACACAATAAAATTGTCAATGACTTGAAGTTTAAGTTGCGCGAAAAGAAATCTCAATTACATTCTGAAATTCAAAGAATACATGAAATTGAAGTTCAAACAAGAGAACAAATAGAGGGACACTTCCAAGCTCTGGAAGCTATACTAGCTGGGACCATGAACAGATAGTGTAATAAGCAGATGTTGGTTTTTATAATAACGCGCTCCAGTCACTTTAATATTTTTATTGTTCACTCTCTATATATCTCTGTCTAATAGAGTGTCTTGTAAGAAAAATAAACAATGCGCGCACATACCGACCACGAAAAATCTGGTCATGGTTCGTGTCGGGACAATGATGCAGATTATGAGCTAGAATAGTTTTAAGTAGTATAATGTTTCAAAATCGACATAATTATAGATATATGATAGTGCATGTTGTAAGTTAATTAACTATGTACAGAATATTTTATAAAAGCTTTTTTATTAAATGTTCCTTGTGAATCAGTGTTTTATTGAGAGTTGAAAATAAAGTAATTTCCTCATTTTTTAATAGAAATAACCCCAACGAGGCAAAGAGAAGTTATAGACTCCACTAAATACACGTGCCATATAAAAATGATTTACTCATTTTAATAGTAGTTATAAGCTTGTAGTAGGTATAAGCGAGCGACGGAGCCCAGCTGCTGGGGCTGCTACTTCTGTCTACAGAGTTTAAGTACCTTACGAATGGCGTTACCACTGCAATGCAATGATAGAATCCAAATTCTGTCCTATCTGTCTACTCTGCCTGGTTGCCCATATGTTCTGCTTCTTGGCTAGGTAGGAACTTGATTTGCCGTGCCAACTAAAAGAAAAAAATTATGTGACAAGATCTGCAAACATGATGACGGTTTACGTTTCATTCTACGGGTTGATGTTGATTTTTCTAGAAAAACAAATTAATTACGAATTCACGAAATGATTTCATGATGGTGTTGATGGTGAATGGCGAAGTCCCTTGCTCTGCACATCCAGAAACCATGAATAGTTACAACTTATTTCTTGATCTTAATTAACTTATTTATTTATAAGTATGTACGTGTCATATTTCTAACCTACGCAGTAGTTTATCAGTGGAGTGACGCATCCTGAAGCCGGCTTATTGATTGCTTTGCGGTAGTTTGAACGCAGTGTCCGTGCAGTTTAGGCGCTGTTTGTGAATTATTATTTATCGTTTAGATTTAATTACTTTATAAATAACAATATTTCTACAAATACAGGTGAGATAGGATTCAGCAACGTCTTCTTTGAATGTGATCCGAGGTAAGAAAATAGCTTTCGTGTGGTTAGATTTGTGAGATTATAAAAATCAGTTTTGTGAAAAGAGTAACGATGGAGTTTCTAGCTCGTTCTTCTCCATTCGAAACTACCCTTTGGTAAGAGCACGTAGCTTCCATAAAAAAATCATGTTGACATTTCGAAAGTGCCTAATCGAGGTTTAATTGAAATAAATGCTTTGACTCTACATGTGCCTCGGTCGTGTTGTTTAGTGATGCAAGTTTAGACGTAGTTTCTGTTATCAGTGTACCTAATAAATGCGTAGGCACTCTAGAAACTCTTATAGATTCGATATAGGCAGTACATAAGACAATATTATACAAAAGTTGTCCGTCCGTGCCATTGCAAATGCACTAGTCATTTCTTTTATATTGTATTTATTTAAAACGTCGCCGTACACTCGGATTTCCTTCTGTTTCATGAGTGTATTCACAAACATACAAACTCACATTCACACACACATCCAGACCCGGCACAACAATGTGTGCATCACACAAAGAGTGTTTTAATTCCTTAACTTTAGACTTTTCCAATTTGTTATCTTTTATAGGCTTTCAGACCAACAAAGACTTTAAATAATGTAGATAAGCCGTCTCTACCCAATTTACTTTATCTTTACTGTAGGGAAGGACCGATAGTATAATCTGTAGTCTAGGGTACTCCCCGAACGTCAGTAGTGCGCTGTCAATCCGAGGAATGATATCCTATTAATATTGTAAATGCTATAGTTTGTATGTTGCTCGTTCACGTCAAACGGCTGAAGGGATCGGGATGTAGAACAGGGGTAAAATATAGTCTGTAACAATTCTAGTTGTAACAATGCTAGTGTTCTACTACGGGGACGCGGGCGAAGACGCTGGCAGAAGCTAGTTTATGATGAAGATGATATAAATACTGGAATATTTATTTATTGCCAGATGACTGAAACCGAAGCTGCGCGTGACGGTGAACAAGATGACGGTAGTGGCCCGTCCGAGGTGATAGTGAGTTATAATTACATTATTTTTATCTATATTTATGTTACAGCTAAAGTGATTAATTTGATATTATTCATAATGACTGTCACACACTACACAATTTGGTCAAAGTGATAAATGATGCTGAATTAATCACATTGACTTGCTATTATGAATTATATCTTCGAAGACTTGAATAAAGTAATAAAACAAGTAGGTGTAGACGAGTAGGGCTGTTTTGTGATACAGTGCGGCGGCTGAACGGATTCTGAATTTGAGACATTCTGCAATATGTAGTTTATTTATTTAGGTTCATCACAGCTTACAAAATTATATGATTACAACCAAAACATATCTGATTCATTACGCCAATTATGAGGAACACGTAAAATGGTATTTATCGATGCGAGACGTTTATCGTCATGGATGTCATTTTCATGGGTTTCGTGGGTGGTGAAACCGATGGTGCTGTCAAAATGAAAATTCAAGATGGCGGCTGCACGAAATTTTTAATTTATCGTCATGGTAACTAATAACCTTCGTTAAGTTGTTCGAGTGCAAAAGTATAGATTTTGTTCTCAGACGATTGCCCTTAGTGCCGAATCTGCACTTGATGCTGAGCGTGGTAACATATTCGACGAAGTTCTTCAGTGCATCAACGAACGATATGGTGAACAGGACGTTCCTCCCGATGTTGCACCCCTTGTCAACCTCTGTCGCCGGGAGGCAAAACGATGGGTAAGTCGAACACACATTGTTCCTCACTCGCAGTTACAGTCTTGCTCGTTCTTCTCCAGAATTCAGTAAATCCGTGCTTTAGAACGAGCAAATAACTTCACATCGACCTCACGGACCGACCGACGACGTACATACGGACAATTGGTGATGTGCTATATTGTTTTTCTTTTTTTTTTAATTGCCCCACACTAGTGTTTTGTTCTGTGTCGTGAGTGCGTTTACAAACATACAAGTTCACATACACATGACACCCAGACCCGTAACAGTTTAGTAATTAAGTATTAATAATCATGATTAATGGGGATGATGACAGGGTATGAAAATTAAAAATATAATTAGTCCGTCAGTTAAGTAATGAAAAAATATTAGACACATTTTTTTATTTTGTTGTATAATAATTATCACTATCACAACATAGTATAAAACAAAGTCGCTTTCTCTGTCCCTATGTCCCTTTGTATACTAAATTTTTTGAAATTACGCAACGGATTTTGATGCCGTTTTTTAATAGATAGAGTGATTCTTAAGGAAGGTTTATATGTATAATACATGCATAATATAGTAGAGAAACACTGATAAATTTAGAGGTTTCTAATGTGATGTCGTGAATCAGCACGTTTTTTTGCGCTTATATTGCAAACGCTGGCTGAACCCTACGAGATAGACAGATTGACCAAAATAATGAACAGTATTGACCACCTTAAAAAGTTCAACAAAAAAGTCCTCGATGGTATAAGTCTATCTATTTGGGATAACCCACCATAACCATTTTTTATCCTTTACTATCAATGGTTATTTACGAAATGATTTTAAAGAATACAGCATTAATCCTTATCCAATTAAGTACTTTAAATAAATTGTGCATTTATCATAGACCAATATGCATTCTACAGCATGTAATTTAAATGAATATTTCCGAAGACATTACAAATTTAAAATGCAGGGACGTATTTGTTGCGGCGTTGATGGCCGCGCTTCGTCCTAGAGCACTTCATGACTTGCAACGATCGCACGCGTTTATCGGAGCTCTCTAGCGAGGAAAATATCAATATAAAACATGTTTGTATTGTCTAATGACAAAATAGCTGTGAACGTGGTGTATAAGGACATTTTGTAGTAGGTATTACGGTACGGTGCGAAACCGGGCGGGTCGCTAGTACTTAGATATAACGAATCAAAGTTTAGGAGTGGGGGCTAAAACGTAATTTCTACGTATAAAATGTACATAGAAGTGACGTCACGCGACATTTGAAATGAATATATCTTCGAAACTATTCAATTCCGTAAAAAAATTAATGTCAAAGTCAAAGTCAAAGTCAAAATCATTTATTTCAATTAGACCAGGATGGCACTTTTGAACGTCAAACAACAAAAATTTATAAGTGAAGCTAGTTGCTCATTCCAAGGCGTAGATTCCTATGGAGAAGAACGAGCAAGAAACTCCATAGGTTACTCTTTTTCAATCAGGTTTACAATACAATTCTCTAGTTACATAGTTTTATTGGTTCGATTATGTGAGAACAATGCAACACCCAAATCCAGTCAGAAAGACTGAAAAAGAAAATAACCTTGAGGATAATAAAATAAAATGATACAGTCTGGAGCTGACCAGTTCCAATCGACGGTGCCCGTTCACGAACATTTGGCGAAACCTAGCACCGCCCAACTCAACCATTTTGTAGGGAATCGAGCGATCCAATGCACGTGCCACCGCCAACGAGATCTTTGAGTGAGCATGACAACTCCAAGCTGACATAAATGCAATCTACTAGTCTAATTTGATTTAGTTAATTACAGGGCTCTCACATTTACAATAAATTGTGCAACGTTTTAAACTATACAAATATTTAAGCAACATGATTATATTATTACACAAATAGAATTCATTGAACATCACTGTGTTTCATGTATTATCCTGCGGAGCCGGACCAGCCTGCCTCCAAGCACTTTTATCCTCTATATAATCATTTAGTTTGTAGTATGCTTGTGTACATAACGTTTTTTTAATACATAGTTTAAATTTTCTTTCATTTAGATGCAGTATTTCTTGGGGGATTTTGTTATAACATTTAACACCGATTCCCATGAACGACTTATGTACTTTTGACAATCTAAAAAACGGCGGACTTAATCTATTCTTATGTCTAGTTTCATAATTGTGTCTGTCAGACACTTTACTAAATAAATGTAGGTTTTTCCTAACATACATAATATTTTCATAAATAAATTGACATGGAACGGTCATAATATTGATCTCCCTAAACCTTTCTCTGAGAGATTCGCGACGACCTAGGTTGTATATAGCTCTGACGGCGCGCTTCTGCAAGACAAAGATAGACTCAATGTCAGCAGCGTGTCCCCACAGCAGAATGCCATACGACATGATGCTATGGAAGTAACTAAAGTACACCAGTCTTGCCGTGTCTATATCGGTTATGTTTTTAAATAATCTAACAGACGGAAATTAAAATAAAAATTAGTCATCAACCCTATTTAAAAGTGTAACTCGTATATTTTTGCAGGAAATCTGCAGTCTTATCACCCGAGGCATGGCTTTTCCACCTAAAAATCGACTTATAAAACTAATTGAACGATTGACTAAAATTTAAAAAAAATATCGTCATAGGTACTAGGACGTACCAACGTATCTGAAACATGTAAATCCAAGATGGCCGCTGCCCGAAATTTTCAGTTTATCGTCATGGGTGTCATTTTCATGGGTTTCGAGGGTGGTGAAACCGATGGTGCTGCCAAAATGAAAATTCAAGATGGCGGCTGCACGAAATTTTTAATTTATCGTCATGGTAACTAATAACCTTTGTTAAGTTGTTCGAGTGCAAAAGTATAGATTTTGTTCTCAGACGATTGGCCTTAGTGCCGAATCTGCACTTGATGCTGAGCGTGGTAACATATTCGACAAAGTTCTTCAGTGCATCAACGAACGATATGGTGAACAGGACGTTCCTCCCGATGTTGCATGCCTTGTCAACCTCTGTCGCCAGGAGGCAAAAAGATGGGTAAGTCGAACACACATTGGGCCTTACTCGAAGTTACAGTTTGTGTCTTGCTCGTTCTTCTCCAGAATGCAGTAAATCCGTAATTTATAACGAGCAAATAAATAACTTCATATGAGCGGTATGGTGTTATTCTGGATATTTTGATACTTTTTGTCTTTCCTTTTAATATTTAAAACTCTTATATCTTATATTTAGGCACTCGTTATTTCTTGAAACAGACTCCAGGCCATCTGCCGGTAAGCGTCTGTTATCATGTGTGCCTTGATATTTTCTACTTTATATAGTAGTAGCGAACTAATGGAAAACAATATCTTACATATATTTTGTGTGTTTTCTCAGAAAAAAATGGGAAGAAAGTCGATCGGTATTTAAAAATAATAATTTGCTAGTAGCTAAGGCTCTCGATCAAAATATAATTATAAATAAAACCATTAAACAACTGCACAATCAAATAAAAAAATATGAAAATATAAAAGGTGCACAAAGATAATAATTAGCTTAAATTTAAAGAAACAGAAAAAGGTTATGAAATTGAATTTAAAAAAAAATTAAACAAAGACGAGTGCAGGAGGAGAAGGTGAGGGAAAATGAACGCGAACATTTTGAAACTGAAAATAATAATATCGACGGAGAAATACAGCAGCAAAAAGAAAAATATGACAAGGAGAAAAAACCGATGGATGAATGTCTCGAGAAATTGAAAAACGAATTAGCTCAAGCAAAACGAAATTATGATATACCTCTACAGAAGTTATTGAACGGATTTCAAACAGACAAACCAAAAGTCGAAGAGAAAATACGAAGCATAAAGAAAAGTATGACAAGGAGAAAAAAGTGACCCAACAACGTCTAGAGAAATTCAAAAATGAACTAACTCAAGTACAAAGTGACGTAGAAGACAAAATCAAAATCGAAGAATTATATAACGATCTGTCTGCTGCTTGAAAACCAAACAAAACTAAATATTGAAGAAATGAAGGAGAAGGAGAAAGAATTGATTATGAAAATATAGGAAGTAAAAGCTAAGGTAAAAAGAATTGAAGATGAAAAGAAAAAAGAAATTCACGAAAAAATTAAAAGTCTTAACCAAAAAGAGAAACAGGAGACAGTGAATATGAAAAAAAAAGAATTGAAAAATTGCAAAATACATACGATGGTAAAAAGATAGAGTTCGAAAACAACATGCGAATTTTACAATGCCATTAAAATGAAATGGAAGCTAATTTGATATGAAAAACAAAATTAAAGATTTAAAAAACCAACTAGCTGAAGCTGAAACTCAAGCTAACCGGAATATCGAGAGAAAGCATCGAGAAGCAGATAAGAAGGAGAAGGAATTTTATATTAAAATGTAAGAATTAAAAGCAAAAGAAAAGGAAATTAACACAGAGGCAGAAGAAAATTGGTCATCCAGAAAAGACATATCAAGATGAAATAATCACAATACAACAACACTAAAACACTGTGCAAAAGCACTTAGAACATAATAGTTACACAAATTTTAAAACAAGCGGAGTTGGATATAAAAACAGAAAGCCAATATACAATTCTTGTTTTGAAAAAAAATTTTGCTATAGCTCGAAACGAACTAAATGAAACAATTCAATTATTAAAACAAGATAAATTTGTAAAGAAACAGTAAGTAACAGCTGAAATTAAGCGTTTGCAAGATATTGAAGGAGACACAAAGGCTAATATTAAAGAATTGGAAGATCAATTAGCGAAACTTTCTAATAAAATCGAGAAAGAAGACCAAAGAAGTGCCAAGGTAATAGCCGAACGCCAAAAAGAAATAGAAAAAGCTATGGAAGCTCAAAAACATAAAAAATTGCCATGGACCAAAATATTACTAATTTAGAAATTACACTAATTAAGCTAAAATCGGACGTGGAGGAAAGTTGTAAGATAAAAAAACAAAGAGAGCAAGAAATACAAACAATGAAAAACATTGAAACACAAAAGAAACTAGAGCTACAAAATATCATCAAAACATTAGAAGATGAGTTAACTGCATATAGAGTTCAATTCGATGAAAGTATTAAGACGATGCAAATGCAAGAAGCTATAAAAACCAGGGAAGTTCAAACTCAAATTGAACGCATGAGAGAAAGCAAAGTTCAGCAGGAAGATATTCACAGGAGGAATCTGAAAACATTACAAATGTCAGTGGACAATCAAAAGGAACAATTGCAGAGGGAAATTGAGGCTTTGCAGCAGATTGAGGCTGAAAAGACCCACAAGATAGAAAACGACATACAAAACCTCCAAGCTACTAAGGAAAGGGTGCGCGCCGAGACCGAGAGCAATATCGCTGCGCTACGACAACATGAAGAGCAGACGAGAATAGAAATTGAAAATAAGATACAAAACTTCCGGGAACAAGAGAAGATAGAGCGCGCTCAGATAAAGATCAATATTGCTGCACTTCAAGAAGATAAAGCGCAGAGACGAATGGAAATAGAAAGAGAGATACAAAGCCTCCGAGAAGATGAAGAGAGAGTACGTGCTGAAACAGCCAGCAACATCACTGCACTACAACAACATGAAGCGCAGAATAGAAGGGAAATTGAGAGTGATATACAAATCCTCCTAGAAAATGAGGCGAGATTACGCGTCGAGACTAACAGTAACATCGCTATTATGTTGTAGGCTAAAACTGTTGTCCAAAGTAGTATAGCTCTACTCGAGAAACATTATGGTGAGACAAAACAAGCACACGAAGCAGATATTGAGGACTTGAAACGACAAGAAGCTGAAGAAAGGGCTACTATTGAGGAGAATATTAAAGCGTTGCGAGATGACTTGGTTTTGAGAAAAGAAGAATTTCATACAGTCATAGACTCCCTGCAATAAGACGAGGACAGAATACAGAGAGAAATCGAAGCTGAAATTGAAAAACTGGACGATGCTGAGACCAACAGGAGAGAAGAACACAATAAAATTGTCGATGATTTTTTATTGTCAATTTTAAAACGTCGCCGCACACTCGGATTTCCTTCTGTGGCGTGAGTGTATATAAAAACATACAAACTCACATTCACACACACATCCAGACCCGGCACAACAATGTGTGCATCACACAAAGAGTGTTTTAATTCCTTAACTTTAGACTTTTCCAATTTGTTATCTTTTATAGGCTTTCAGACCAACAAAGACTTTAAATAATCTAGATAAGCCGTCTATACCCAATTTATTTTATCTTTACTGTATGGAAGGACCGATAGTATAATCTGTAGTCGACAGCGCACTACTGACGTGCGCTGTCAATCTGAGGGATGATATCCTATTAATATTGTAAATGCGAAAGTTTGTATGTTACTCCTACACGTCAAACGGCTGAAGGGATCGGGATGTGGAACAGGGGTAGAATATGATCTGGAACAATATATAATATAGGCTACTTATTGTACCACGGGGACGCGGGCGACGACGCTGGCAGAAGCTAGTTTATCATAGAGATGAATTATAAATAATGGACTGTTTATTTGTTTATAGATGACTGAAACCGAACCTGCTCATGACGGTGGGCAAGGCGACGCTAGTGTGCCATCCGAGACGACAGTTAGTTATAATTACATTATTTTTATATATAAGTACATATAACAAAACTGTACAGTTGTTACAAGATAGACAACGAATCCAAATATGTAATTAAAGAAATTTTCGTCCGTCTGTCTGTTCGTCTGCATATTCACGTATCACACAAAAATTCCAGTCCAATTGCGATGAAACTTTGTATGATTATACGTTAATATCCTGGGCATCACACTGGGTACTTTTTAACCCGAAAAGGTATATAGATATACTAAAACTAACTTAATTGTGCGGGTCGATCCCTAGACACAGTTACTGTACCTAAAGTAGGTTGCCCGCTGTGAACCTAACGCTGTGGGGCCGATGGACGATATTTGCTTGAACCGCTATTATAAATGGGAAAAATTTATGAGTTAGTATGAGTGTATGAGTGTATGTTTGTTACTCATTCAAATCAAAACGGCTGATAGGACCTGGATACAATTTGGAACAGAGGTAGTTTAGGTTTAACAGAGGTAGACAGAATACACCCATTTACCTCTGAGGAAACGGGCGGAACCGGTTTAGTAGCTTAATAAAACACTACAACTGTTGTAAGTACCTTTTGTATTTCCTGTAGATCGAGTGCTGCACTCTGTCGGTCCAACCAACCTTCCTACTGGTGAACTCATGCAGTTCGTGCTAGCGCGGCGGTATGGTGTTAGCACGCACTGGTACACAATATTAAATGGAGTGAATCATGGAATATTTATCAATTTGCAGACGTCTGGAACCGACCGTGCACCTGACGCTGAGCATGGTGACGGCAGCGGTCCGTCTGAGGTGACAAAGGATCCAGTGAGTTAAAACATTGTAATATTTCAATAAGTGCTTGTTCAGGTTGAACGCGCGGGTGCGATAGGCTGCGGGCTTGGTAGACGTCGTGAACTCGTGTTCACTCAAAAAGTTCGATGGTTGAACTTATCTGACACTGACAAATGTTTTTAGGTGTTTGATACCACCGCAAACGGGCCGGGCGCGCCTGTCGCTAGATTGCCCGCTACTTTCACAGTACTTGCGTTTTGTACATACTTGGATGTCATATGTTTGATATTTCGCGACCTCGTCCGCGAGTCAGCGTGAACAAGTACGAAGTCTTACGTTTGTTTGTAAGTGTTTAATAAATCAGTCTATGGTCTGGTTGATACTTGAAGTATTTTGGTAATTCTTATCTTTTATTTATCTTTTATTAGTTAGAACTCTTGTGTGCCTTGATTATTTTCTACTTTATATGAATGACGAAGAAATGGCGAACATAACGTCTTAAATAAATTTTATGTTTTTTTCTCAGAACAAAAAACCACAAAAGAAAAGAAAAAATAATGGCAGCCCAGAGGATATCGAATACGAATTAAAAAGAAAAAAAACCGAAGAAAGTCGATCGGTATATAAAAATGATTTGCTAGAAGCTAAGGCTCTCGATCAATATATTATTATAAATAATACCTTTAAACAACTGCACAAGCAAATAAAAAAATATGAATCAATTAAAAATGCACAAGACAAAGATAATAATTTGCTTAAATTTAAAGAAACAGAAAAAGATTATGAAACTGAATTCAACAAAATTAAACAAAGACGAGCACAGGAGGAAAAGGAGAGGGAAAATGAACGCGAACATTTTGAAACTGAAAAAGATAAAATCGAAGAAGAAATACAGCAGCAAAAAGAAAAATATGACAAGGAGAAAAAAATGATGGATGAATGTCTCGAGAAATTGAAACACGAACTAACTCAAGTCCAAAGCCATGTGGAGAAATTTATCAGCGAATTTGAAACAGAGAAAATTAAAATCGAAAATGTAATACAGGAGCTAAAAAACAAGTATGATGTGGAGAGAAGACTAAAAGATGAGTGTCTCACAAAACTGCAAAACGAATTAGCTCAAGCAAAACGAGATAACGATATACAGAAATTATTGAATGGATTTCAAACAGAAAAACTAAAAGTCGAAGAGGAAATACAGAAACAAAAAAAAACTTATGATAATGAGAAAAAACTGACCGAACAACGTCTTGAGAAATTGAAACACGAATTAACTCAAGTTCAAAGCTATGTGGAGAAATTTTTCTTCGAATTTGAAACAGAGAAATTTTAAATCGAAAATGTAATACAGGAGCTAAAAAACAAGTATGATGTGGAGAGAAGACTAAAAGATGAGTGTCTCACAAAACTGAAAAATGAATTTACTCAAGCACAACACGATATGCATAAAGCAAAACTAAATATTGAAGAAATGAAACGAGAGGAGAAGGAATTGATTATGAAAATACAGGAACTGAACGATGCTATGACCAACAGGAAAGAAGAACACAATAAAACTGTTGATGAATTGAAGTACAAGTTTCGTGAAAAGAAATCTCAAGTAGAGTCTGAAATTCAAAGGTTACTTGAAATCGAAGCTAAAACAAAAGAACAGATAAAGCGGCGCGTACAAGCTCTGGAAGAAGAATTAGCTAGAAGTCAAGAACAGTTTGTGTAGTTGGGAGATATATAGATAATATTACGTCTACATTACAACTATTATTGAATAAACGAATCTGGATGTTAAAAGGAATAACGTTTGTTTTGACACTTTTGGTAATATAAAAGACGTGTACGTTTTCACAGAAATTCACGTGTTAAAACAAAATTTTTTTTTACGATTTTTTACCTAACTTACGGACTAATTATTTTTTTAATTTTCATTTGTCATCATCCCCATTGTCAAATATGGAAAGATATTCCTCAGTTAAAATTTATCTGAGCATTGAAAAATTGGCCCTTAGTAGGTAGTGTGCTCCGACAATGTAACCACAGGGTATTGTGCATGTGTTGCCTCAGCAACTGATACACAATAACCGATGGTTGGTCAACAAGAAACAAAAGGTGCAATTCTGTATGTATTATGCACTAAATTTTTATGTACTAGTACTACCTAATTATAATCGATTATTATATTGTTTTACTATTACTGCCTCGTTTTCATTCTCTCTTCTCGTTTTTATTATCCTCGTATTGCAACTGCCTCGTTGGCCAAGTGGTCGCAAGTGCGACGGTCGGGCAAGGGGTCTCGGGTTCGATTGTCGGGTCGGGCAAAGTATTACTGGGTTTTAAAAAAATCTCAATAGTAACACAGAGTCTGGAATTGTGCTCGTTATATGGCAATAGGCTCACTCTCTATTACATGGGACTCACAACATAAATAAGAAAGTTGGTGTTACATTGTACAGTGGTATTAAGTGCCGTAATGTGCACCTCTGCTTACCCCTTTGGGAATAAAAGGCGTGATGTTATGTTTACTAATAAACCAAAAATAAATATTGTGCAATTTCATTAACTTCATTTTAACATCGTCCATGGTACACGATTTCTTATTCTTTATTTTTCTGTTAAATACCTTCTCTCAACCCCTTACAAAACCGCGAGCGAACGAACCCGCAGGCAGATGCTAATCCATGAATGAAATGTATTCAGATAATTGAATTCGCATTTTTCTTTAAAATTGCTGATCCCCGATGCAACTGAATATTGATATTAGTCGTGGAAGTTTGTCAGTCTCCAATGATACCACAGAGGTTGATGGATCGAAGTTTTTTATGGGTTATGATGGTAAACGAGCAGACGGATTGCCTGATGGTAAACAATCGGCGTCGCCCATAGACACCCGGAACACCAGAAGCGTTACAAGTGTGTTACTGGTCTTTTGAGGATTGGGAATTTGAGGGTTGTTGGAGATTCAGGGATTGGGGAGATTGGGGAGGGGAGGATAATTGGGCCTCCGGTTACATCACTCGCACGACGATTGATTAATATTGATACCTTGATAGAGATTAACACAATCTATATAGATATAGTAAATAAAATGGGAGTGTGTTTGTAATATGGAAATAACCGCTTTTTACTACATGCATATTATGAACATACATACGATTTTTTTAAAGGGGTGAAAATTATCAAATGACTGCTCCCACCTGGGTGAGGCGGGAGGGAGTGTCAGACTCTTACTGACAACATACATACGATACATGCACCAAAATAACACTTTTTACAATTTTTGTCTGTCTGTCTCTCGGTCTGTTTGTACTGGTTAAGCTCTGAAATGACTGGATCGAATGTACTAAGGAGTTACATAGGATACTTTTATTTTAGAAAAACGCAGACGAAGTTGCGGTTTCAGCTAGTAATAAGAATCGATTCATAGTTTACGATTAATTTTAAAGCGGTCAAAAAACTGTAAAAAATTATTAAATTACGACTTCACAAGCTAATATACTGGAATTAGTTTATTAATAAATAACTCTAGCAATATGTAATAAACATATTTTTGTATAGGTATTCTATACTCATGTTTATGAGCAGAATTTTGCGACTTCTGCTGCTACTATAACTAGTCGAGTTCCTCGTCAAATAATTACGTGAGTAAGCCGAAAACATAATAATTTATTTGGTATCAATTTAATTATAATATGTGTAATAAAGTAGGTAATTGTGAACAAGAAGGGTCTGCGAGTTATGAGCAAGACGGTCATAGCCATCAAAATGTTTGAATATTTTAATTTTGAAAAGTATAATTCATCATCTGGTTCCTTTAATCGATTTATTCTTGTATGTGAATATTATCGATTAGATAATTCAGTCGACATTTCCATAAGACTTTATCACTACCATATCTTTAGTGACACTTCAATTAAAATACTAAATGACGTGTAGTACGTTAATTTGCACAAAATTTGAACATATTATACAAAACAAAACGTTCCCCAAGGATTACTCTCCGTTTTGTTGAAAACTGTACGAGAATCAGACTCGTGTTTTTCGAGTTTATCACGAATAGACAGACAGACGCGACGGGGGACTTTGTTATATAATATGTAGCGAAATAAAGATATGTCCTGAAAGAAGAAAAGCAGAAGTATGCAGTATGGAGTCCATGTTTTTTTATGGGATAAGTCGGTAAACGAGCAGACGGATCACCTGATGGTAAGCAAAGCGTCGCCCATGGACATCTGGAACACCAGAGGCGTTACAAGTGGGTTACTGGCCTTTTGGGATTGGGAATTTGAAGATTGTTGGAGACTCAGAGATTGGGAAAGAGGGGAGGGGTAATTGGGCCTCCGGTAACCTCACTCACACTCACCATGTTAGTAAACTCGACTGATTACATCAGGTTATGCTGTCGCGAGCAGTTCACGAACCGCATGCTAGCGTGTCCTAAACTGCATCTGTGCTTCCCAGCCGTGTAATGTGGTCTGCTCCTGAAGGGTTACTCACGCTAACATTATTACAACGCTCACGCTAATATACTACAAATATACCACACAACGGTACACAATTATCGTCGCACCTGTCTCTCATTGGAGTTAGATAGCAATTATTTACTCAACTTAGGGTAGCTCGAACGTCAATGCCAATCTGTCAACGTCAAGTATCAAAAGCCGTTTCATGTCATCGACAGTTTTTTATTATTATTTTATTTTTGTACTAGCTGTGCCCGCGACTTCGTTCGCGTAGAATAGTGACTATGGGCAGCGTTTTTTTTAAATATATACTTATTTTTATTTTAGATTTGGATCATAATCACAGTCATTTTGGGTAGCTAAAAAACCTACTTTACTGTAATGCTTCTCTATATACAATATTAGACGTATGGCCATCGGGGGTGAAAGCATACAGGCTGCTGGGATTGCTAACACGGGACAGAGCCACATACAATTGACCGTGCGAAAAACAGCTGATACTTAGATCTATACCCACAACTTTTAGAGTCTGACCTTGAGCTTTATTAATTGTCATGGCGAAACATAGGCTCACTGGAAACTGAATTCGTTTAAAATTAAACGGAAAATTTTTTGGAATGAGAGGAATCTGAGGAATAAAACCACTATCACCTTTTCCGCACCCTGTTAAATATATATATATTTATAAGCCATTTCTGAGATTAGCGTGAACAGACAAACAGACAAACAGACAAAAAAAAAGTTAGTTACATTTTTGGGTTCGACATCGACATAACAATAGCCCCTGCTATTTTTTTTATTTTTATTTTCAATGTACAGACAGCACTTTTCTACAATTTTATTATTTGTATATATATATATATATATATAGATAGATATAGATAGATAGTGTTCGACGTGATTCTTTAATTTGACGTAACTTTTTTATTTATAAACCGATTGACATGAAACAAACACTAAACCATAACTGAAGCATACCACAATATATTCGTGAAAACCGCATTCAACTCGGATAAGCCGTTTCTGAGATTAGCGTGAACAGACAAACAGACAAACAGACAAAAAAAAAGTTAGTTACATTTTTGGGTTCGACATCGACATAACAATAGCTCCTGCTATTTTTTTTATTTTTATTTTCAATGTACAGACAGCACTTTTCTACAATTTTATTATATGTATAGATAATAATTGGTCATATTATTTAATTATTATTATATTATGGTGACAGGCTAGTGCTGAAAATCAGCACCGCGACTCGAGTTATCGATCTCGGGTCACGGCATTTTAGCTGAGCGCTTGGCCTTTTTGCGTCGTGTACACTATTCTACTATTATTTTGTTACTATTCTTCTTGTTTTAATTTTTGTAATAGTGCAAATAGACTGTTTTATTTCTTTCTTTCAATGGAAACTCTGTTCACTGAATTACTCTTTTTTTCACTTTATCTGTCACTAGCGACCCGCTCCGGCTTCGTACGGGTGCAATATGCATTTATTATATATGTAAACCTTCCTTAAAAATCACTCTATCTATTAAAAAAACACATCAAAATCCGTTGCGTAGTTTAAAAGATCTAAGCATACATAGGGACTGACAGACTGCGGATAGACTTTGTTTTATACTATGTACTGATAGTGATACTGCATCGTCATTTATTTACTTATTCATTTTAATGTAGTACGTAACAGGATAAGTTAGATTAATAATATTATAAGTAAAATTCATTTTGACTAAGTAATATCCCAATCCTCGATTCTTGACGAGCTAAGTACCTGTGCATCTTCGAGGACCTGTCCATCCTGTAGCTGTTGCTCCGTGGACAGGTCGGGGAGACTGCTTGCTAAGATGTTCCTTATCATCAGAAACGGAGTGCTGCGAGTCTGTACCACGGAGCGGAGGCGAGCACGAAACTGACAAATAAAAATAATGTAAGTTTGAACAGTGAAAAGAAATAATTTAAAAATCCTCGTCCTCGTCCAACCACGCTTATGGAAAGGAAAACATTTAAAAATATCTAAATAAAAGTTTAACAATTTATTTCAATCAGACAAATAAGGCACTTTTGAAGGTCAAATAACATACATGTATTGCTACGCCACGTAGTACAGAATGCTACGCCACGTAGCATGGAGAGCTACGCCACGTAGCATGGAGTACTACGCCACGTAGCATGGAGTGCTACGCCACGTAGCGTGGAGTGCTACGCCACGTAGCGTGGAGTGCTACGCCACGTAGCATGCAATGCTACGCCACGTAGCGTGGAGTGCTACGCCACGTAGCATGGAGTACTATGCTATGTAGTACAGAGCGCTACGCCACGTAGTAGATTAATTTTATTTATAAATATGTGGATCACATTAACAGTTGGTCCATGCGGGATCCAATGGTGCCGTGAACACGTGCGCAGCATCACTGCGCTAATCGAGCAATAGAATGTTTAACATTATAGGAAATAAATAGCCGTCTATTCTACTCCAGTTACACAATCAGTAGTATATCTGTAGAGGTACCTACATTACTCAACTAGTAAAAGTAATATAACATTACGCCTGGTGGCTTTCAACGGTCGGCTGAGATGCTAATTTGGACCGCAGTGGATGAGCAAATGGCTGCTGTGGAACGTGTCGTGAGTTCGATTTCCTTAAATATTGATCTTTACCCTTCGCATTCAACTACTGCCAGCCACATAGCAGATATTCACTAAGTTTGCTTGCCATCCTGCCCTCATCCCAAGATATTTAAATAGACAAGTCTAAACTGCAACTCCTGTAAGTCGGGATCTAAGAGATATAAATCAAAATTCTCTTTTATCAAACGTCTTCACATAACGAAGTCACCTTCTTCTAGTCTTACTAAACATATGAATGCTAAAGTTTGTGAGTGTGTCATATCTATCACGTCATAACTGAGTCGGGATGAAGGTTGACCCTTGTTTGGTCGACCAACGTACATAGAATTTTAGTTGCAATAAAGTCATTTCTTAGAATTATTCCTTTGAACGAATTATTCATTGGTAAATTTTTATTTAGCACTAGCGACCCGCCCTGGCTTCGCACGGGTTCAATATTCATGATTATACATACATATAAACCTCCCTTAAGAATCACTCTATCTATTTAAAAACCGCATCAAAATCAGTTGCGTAGTTTTAAACATCTAAGCATACATAGGGACAGACAGACGGCATATAGCGACTATGTTTTACACTATGTAGTGATAATTACTTATTTGAACTAGTTTCTTATTTGTATTTTCAAATGCACTTATTTTATTGAAACTAATGGTTTTTAATATAAACGACTAAATGGTCTAAAAATATTTGAAAAGCAGTTAGTGATATAGGGCTCGGCGGCCGCTATCGCGTAACCGTTCTAACCTAAGCTGACCAAATGTGTCGGGATGCCCAAAAATTTTTGCTAGAAGGTTTAGATTAACTAAAATCCATTGCAAGTAATTTAAGATTAGTTTAACTGTTTCCTAGTTCAAAACATACCATCTGAACATTACATCAAATGAACATTATACCTTTAGATCATTAGCGCAAATGTTGTATAGCAAATAAATATTCGACGAACTGAAAATTTTGTCAAACAATATTATACTAAGTGTAACGTTGTTCGATTTAGTAATATTATATCAAACGTTGTTCGATCAAACAAGGGTGAACCAATTTAGAACAGTAGAGATTATGGTGTGGAATACTACAGGGAACGCTGGCGAAGCCGTTGAGAGAAGCTAGTTTACTATAATTCATTATACGGTGTATCCATCTTTCCTTGGCTCGTCGTCTTCCTTTCCATCTATACCCATTTAGTTGGCTATCAAAATATATGTTTATCTCTCAGTATCTTGATACCGACGCTACTTTCAGGCTTCTTATAATAATTTTGTCACCTTCTCCATTCTCACCATAGCACATACATTGTACAATGTTTATATATCTGACACGGAACACTAACACTAGGTATCTAAGTGATTGTAAGGACTAGATACCCTTGGCATCTGATCCTTCATGGCCCAGCCTTTGGATCGGTCTAAACTTAGGCACCAAATAACAATAAAATATTTTTTTATTTGATAGGACACTGTGTTATGGCTATTGGTTCAAAAAAGTTACGGTTTGAACTTATTTATTTATGAAAACCTCATGTTAGTCCTGGACAAATCAAAAAATGTAAAATTAGTTTTTAAGTATTTATTTCTGTACAAGTGATTTGTAATCTTTTAGAAATAAATGAATTCAAACCGTAAAAAAGTTTAAATTGATAAGTAATAAATAATAGCCGACTATTCATGTAAAGACTTAATGTCTGACTGTGATGATACAACAATTTTAAATAATAGTTACCTAAACTACCTATATTCTTAAAAAACTAAAGAATGTGGTAAATCTCACGCAGACACAAAATATTGTTTTCTAAGACGCAAAATATTGTTACAAAACCTAAACCTACTCTATAGGCAATTAGTATCAAGGTAGATCATGACCAGGAGCAGAATAATTATGTTAAAGTTACAGTATTGAAGGTAAAACCCCAACGTAATATGTAAGTAGATGTTATATTACACAACAGCCATCGAGACAACCGCCTCCTGCAAGATGAGTAGGTTGGCAAAGACAGTAACTTAGTTTGAAACACTGTTTTCTTGAATTCAGTAGCACTATAATTTCACAATAATCATAATATTGTTGGTGCGGAGTCCTTGCTGTGCAGGCTGTACCGAGCAGGAGGCTATCTAGTCCCTCGTCCGAGTGAACTGTGCCAGTAGGTAACGCCGGGTGTGCGTGTTTGCCGAGACACACAAAGGTACACATACAAATTCCTAACAACAAACATAAACACGGATACATAGTTGATTGTGAGATGTAGCGGTGCCGGCGGCGACGGCGGCCCCCCCTCCGTGGCGACTGGCGCGCCGCGCGACGCAGACTGTGGCCCGGCCGGAGCCACACCCGCCGGGCCGCCGCGCCGGCCGCCAATCCGAGCCCCCGGCCTGCGCGATAGGGCCGCGCGCCAGCCGTGGGGCGGGGCCCCTCGAGTGCCGTAACCCGCGCCGGGGGCTTCGGCCGCCACTCTCGCCCCGAGAGCCACTAGAGGCTGAGCCGTCGAGTGGCGTCGAGTGTCGGCCGGTCGGATGTCCGCGGAGGGCGGCGACTACTCGCCGTGTCCGGCGGAGGCGCTGCCGGAACTGAGCGCTGCCGAGCTGGCGATGAGCCTGTCGCCTAAGTCGGCGCTGCTGCAGCAGAACCTGTCCCAGCTGCAGCTTCAGCACTCTACCCCGTTCTCCGTCACGGATATCCTGTCGCCGATAGAGGAGTACCGCAAGCTGGAGCTGGCGAACAACCCGCCGTCGCCGTACAGGTGCGTGGATCGATCGCCGGGAGGGGGGGGCGGCGCCCTCCACCCGCTGATTTTTCGAGTGGCGAAGGTCCCGACGAGAGTGCTTGAGCGTCGTTCGTAGTCGAAGGATATAGTTCTGTGACGTTTGTTTGTGCAGGTATGTTGTGATTAGCGGTCAAGTGGTGTGTGTGCGGTCAACGATGTGCTGTAGGCGCGCGGCCCGCGGCTGAGCTCGGTGGACTCGACTCTTGATCGATGTTACTCTGCTCGGTTCTTCGAAATAACGTCTTGCCATTCATGAATGATAGTGGACTCAATGTAGCACCCTGAGGGACGCCATCGCTAAGCTCTGCTGTTTACAGTCATGCTGGTGGAGGACTACCATTATATGTGGGTATTTATTACATTCTGTGTCCGTGGCTAACTAACCTTCAGTGCTTGGTCTTCATCATAAAGAGTAGTTGCATTCGATTCCATGTGAGACAATCAAACGCCTCTCAATTGTTTTATCAAAAACTAAATAAGATCTTACCGCGAACTTGGTAGCTAAGTGTGTAAAAAAATGACGGAGTTCACTATTTGCCAATAATTAACTAACTAGACAGATTGAAATTATTAGGGAGCTCTACTGATTCCTCTTTGACAAATAATTAATGCAACAAAATAATTTAGGCCTAAGCAGGGACTCAAATAGATTTAATATAAAATAAATAAAATTAAAATATGTTAGTTAGGACTACAAAAACATGTTAATATCGGTGATCACTTTCGACAAAAAAAAAGTTACAAGATGTGAATTGTACATTAATTTTGCATACCTTTACCTGTGATAGAATGTGTCACTCTTTGTCAATATCTACAACAATACTGAAGATGGAATAAATGGCCAAACTCGCCAAAAAGGCCCACAGTATTATATGTTGTTGTCCCTAACATTTATTTTCTAATGAAACTAAACTAAAATAGTACCGTAATGTTGATTGCAAATTTTCTATTCATGTAAACCACTCTATCATTTAATTTGAAAACTATAGAGGTAGAGATACTATTTTGTAGCTAGATAGTGCCTACGTAGAAAAATATTTGAAGAACCTATGTAACTATTTGGAGATTTTCATTATTATTTTTTTTATTTAAATCTTTTTTGACTCAGTAGAAAATCCTAGTAAATAGCATAGAGAATAATATTTTTTTTAAATGTAGAACGGTATCAAATTATGACTACTACATTAGGTTTCAATGAGTATACCATATTACTTGTTTATTCGTTTATTTTGTAAAATACATAAATAACGACACAGAACACAAATCGTATTCTATACTTAGGTAATACATACAACAGAGGACGGTTAAAAAAAATTTAAGATTTACCGATCTTTGATCCATGAATGTACGTCTCTGCTATTGAAAGAAACTGCTGAATTGATCCATGTTTAAAAAACACAAAATTAACTTTAGAATTCTAGGTGGAATGAAAATATTATTAGAAAATAAGATATGTGATGAATGACAAGCATTATTTTTTAAAACTTGCGTTTAACACTACTACATTTAAAACCGTACTATAACTACGTTAATGTCTACAGTTCTACACATCTGCAGTAAGCATAAAGAATAGAGTAGGCTTCTATATCTACACTTTTGTCTGACAATAATTAAGTTCGTATTACACTGATTTCTATATCTTTCTATAATCTTTTATATTTTACTTTACAAAATACGACTGTTGCAATCTTTTTTTATGTCCATAAAATACATGTAAATAATATAAGGAAAGAAATAAACATGTACAACTTAAGATAGACTAACGGTAACAGAGGAAATTAAATAAATGAATCCTTACTAATATTATAAATCGGAATGTGAGTTTGTTTGTTTGTTCCGCTTTCACGCCGTAACTACTAAACCGATTGCTTTGAATTTTTGCAGACGTAAAGTTAGAAGTCTGGATTAAATAATAGGGTACTTTTTATCCCGGAAAAATTTGATATTCTCGAGGGAAAATTATTGGTATAGATGGCGCTGTGTGTATTGGTATATGCACATAGGCTACTTTTTATCCTTTTGTGACGCGAGCGAAGCCGCGGGTAAAAACTAGTACTAAATAAAAATGACTACAGAGAGCATCAAACGAAACGCAATTTGTGGCTATATAAAATTTGATTCCGCGTAATCTGTATTGTAAGATTAGCTTTATAAAACAAACAAACAATCAAAACTGTATCTACTACTTCATTTTATTATTATAGATAAAACCTTGATAGCATAAACACAATTAATAATGATATGATTAATTTAACTCAATGAATGCTTGCGTATACCATTCATTCAGTAAAAATTACGATATTGCTGTTGTTTACTTGATAACTTTGATAACAAATGTATTAAATAATTCATATAGTTATCTGATATTTTAAGGCTGAAGATATTGTTCGATTTAACGCAATTATTTCTGATACAAATGAAAGGTATTTATAACACACTAGCTGACCCGGCGAACTTCGTACCGCCTAACAGTCAATTAATGTCGTGTTACCTTTTAGCTGAACTAGTTTAGGCTTTGATGAACGTAATACAATGATACAATATAAACATGAACATAGATAGATATACAAAAGTATTTTATTATTATGAACAACTCCGGGTTGGGCACCAGCCCTACATTACACGTAGGCCTCGACAAAACGAGCCGCGGAAGACTTAACAGCTCGAAGTGCAGGAGTAGGAACAGGGTGGTTTTTAGTCAGTAAGAGTTTAACACTCCCTCTCGCTTTAACCAAGTTAAGAAAAGTCATTAAAGTATTTCCCCACTCAAAAAGGCTTTCTTGTAATTCAAATTATATAGTAGAATACAGCAAGAATAAAATAAAACGACAACAGATCAACTATTCAGAAAAACTGTACTAGTTTCAAGTCGTACCGAGTCTCTTCATTATTTTATTCATTACTTTAATTAATTTAGTACATCTTACGATAGCTATTACACAAAAATAGCTATTACATGATAGATATTTTATTTAATTACTTATCTTTTCTAATAAAAGAATTTCTTCTTCTTTTCTAATAGAAGAAAAATATTTTGATATTACGGATAGCTATGCGGTCCGTCTTCAATCTCAGACTTTCCTTACTTTTGAATATTTTTCATATTATAAGTTTCACTTTCGTGAGACATACAAAAATAATTATTATGTTTTGGGCTTACTCACATACCTAACTGTCTGACGAGGATCTCGACTAGTTTCAAGCCACGCTAGAGGCTCAAATTCATGAGCAGCATTCCGCGACCCGCGAGGCCGCGACGCGACTGTTTTACATTTTTTAAATTAAAAACAAAACTCTTACAGCACCTAACTGTCTAATAGGTATACTAGGAACTCATAAACTGTTAAACAGATTTCAATGCGGTTTTCTCCCGTGGATAGTGTGATTTTTGAGTAAGGTCAAAAATTCGTGAGGTTGGTTGACCGAAGTTGAAAATATGATGAACTAATGGATATCTAAATAAATAATAAAGTGAGAATAAAGTGACGTGATTTCGAGTTATAAGTCGCCTAATAAGGCCCATCTTATTTTTAAACCTCGTAAAATTTTGCAAATGGATAAACAAAGTAGAGAAAAATCATATTGGAAGTTGTTTTATATTTATTTGATAATCGAGATATTTAAAAAATTACGACAGGTTTTTGCCAATTTGATACAATAACAATCACTTTTTTTAAAACTTGTTATTCCATCTTAGGAACCCAGGCGCCTAAGATGACCCGAAAAAGTTATTGCAAATATGAGCATTATAAACAATATAAAACGTCGTAATAAAAAGACATCCTTCGTATAACATTATTCAAAAATTTTGAGGTCGGCCATCTTAAACCAACGAAAATTAAAATCGACCATAAAATAAAAAGAAACTACAAAATAGAAATAATTTCAGTTTGAGATCAACTTTAAAAGTAACTTTGTACTTCGAGAGTAACTTAAAACAAAATTATTTGTTTTAGAATCGAACATTTTTCAAAATATTAAGATAGTGGATTTAGTAAAACGGGCATCGTCTAGCCAGGACCAAGCAAAATGTCGTCTGAATTTAAAATGGCGATGCACCGGTAATCCTTACTAATATTATAAATCGGAAAGTGAGTTTGTTTGTTTGTTTGTTCTGCTTTCACGCCGTAACTACTAAACCGATTGCTTTGATTTTTTGCAGACGTAAAGTTAGAAGTCCAGATTAAATAATAGGGTACTTTTTATCCCGGAAAAAAATTATATTTCCGAGGGAAAACAAAAGTATTGGTATAGATGGCGCTGTGTCTATTGGGATATGTCACATAAGCTACTTTTTATCCTTTTCTGACGCGAGCGAAGCCACGGGTAAAAGCTAGTGAAAAATGTTTGCCTTTTTTGTGTAGCACGCTAATACCATAAACCTGCAAAGTTTCAAATGTTTTTTTTTAATGGGTCATCTTAGCAAGACGGCCGTCTTTGGCGACTGTACGTACCTTATGTGTACCTAATTACAAATTTCTGTAGGATTTGATTTTGGAATTTTGTTTTAAATATAGCTATTTTTGATACTGGCTACTTTATAAATTATTTTCGAAATATATTTTAATAACCTTCATCGGTTTATTACTGTTTTAATGTTGGGAAAGTACGATATCTATTAAGTACAGCATTCTGTATAAACAATTAATGTTTATGCTAATGAATATGAATTTAAATAAATCGAGCGTTTCTGTATTTTTTTTTTCAATCAGTATATCTCGACTTTATTTATTCTTTGAGGTCATAGACAACAATCAGCGTATGACGTAATTTTTCTCGTAGATACCGAACTATGAGATTTTTTTTAATTTATTCATCTGTCAAATCAATGTTATTGTGCGGTTTGAATAAAAAAAACTGTATTTTGGGAACTACTAGCATTATAATTTGTTAGTTTAATTCAATTATGTATTTTAGTTTGTTTTTTAAACTGTGGTAGCTAAAACTAATCGTAAGGTAAAGGTTAAAGGTTCTACCAATTGTATTTTTTATTCATTTGTACTTTATAATTCCTCGAATTAAACTTATAAAGGTACTTAAATAAATGGATAAGTAGGTATATGCATATATAGAAACATGTTTAGATATATACAGTCATTTAAACAAGAAATAAATAGTTAAGTATAGACATTTATGAAATTCTGTATTGACGTTTTCTTATACGTACCATGCCAGTAAACTAGTCGACAAGTACCATGCTAAAAAAAAAATACCTAGGCTTAAACATATTTTTTAAAGTTAACTAAAATTTGCTCGTTACTCACGTGAAAATACCGAGAAAAGCTCTACTAGTTTCCAACCACAGAGGGGTTCTTCCTCGTGAGCAGCGTGCGCTGTCGCGGCAATGTCCCGCAGTCTATTCAAAGTTATATAATATAATATGATATGATAACTTTCAGGGGAATCATCATAGCGATTACCAAACTAGTTTCACTTACGGACAGACTGACGGACAATTATTAATTAAATAAATAAATAAAATGTTTATTTGGTGTAAAAAGCCAGATTACAAAATAAATTTTATTATCTAAACATAGTCTAAATTTATATAAAACCTGAACTAGGTACAAGCCAGTGTTTGAGGTTAAAAATGTTCTAACATATTCAAGTGCAATACCATTGCTAATAAAACTAAAAATTAATTGCTAAGATTTTTAATTGAATTAAATGCTTTAACTTTGACAACAGCCGGTGTGTACACACGATATATGCACGGATGTTATATTCCGACGGTCGGGATAGGAACTTCGTTTTGCAGTAGGTGATATAAGTTAATTATCAATATTAATCCCCTGTAAATATTTTTTAACACAATTGTTCGTTAAATTCATGATTTTTCGCTGATAGTAACCGGATTTAACTTTGTAGTTTATTAATTCGCTGCGTCATCCAAATGTCGTGTTGTTTGCTGACATTTTATCTAAAATACGTCTATACAGATATATAAAATTGGAGTGTCTGTTAAAATAATCGCTTTTTACTACATACACATACCAAAATAATTTTTTTTAGAAATTTTCTCTGTCTGCTTGTAATGGCTAACCTCTAGAATAGCTGTACCGATTTTGTAAGACTTTTATTGGCGGACAGCTGACGTATTAAGAAGTAACATAGGCTACTTTTATTTTGGAAAATTGAACCAAAAAGAACCTCATTCAAGAAACAATTCATATTCTACGCGGAAGAAGTCGTGTGCAACAGCTAGTTCTAAATAAGAGAAACATGAATGTCACCTGACCTAGTAGACGACTATAAACGGAAAAAAAATTAAGCAAATAGATGTCTCTATCTTTATCTATAATACTTGTAAATATCTAGCCAACATGTTTTTATAATATCTATCGTGAGATATACTAAATTAACTAAAAATCGCGGGTTACTCACGTGAATATACTGAGAAAAGCTCTACAAGTTTCGAACCACTGAGAGGTTCTTCCTCATGAGCAGCACGACGTCACCGCGACCGCGTACGCTACTTTTAGTTAATCTAGTCAATATATTATAATGTTATGGTTTTTCGAAAAAAATTACTGTTCATTCATAAGCCTCTAGCATGGCTTGAAACTAGTCGAGTTCCTCATCAAACTGTTACGTGTGTAAGTCGAAAACATAATAAATAATTTACGTATGTTTCACGAAAGTTTTAATATACTTATAATTAGATAGGTTTTGGTTGTATATAACTCTTAGCTATGGTGCTTGTACTGAATACTTAGATATAGGTACTCTAGTAGACACAGCTGATGTACCTACCACACATAAACTTTAAAAATAAATATATATTTTGTAATTGAGACAGGCCGTAAGTACATTAAATAATTGATTTTTTAACAAATACAAATACATACTTCCATTGATTTTTCTACATCTTCTGTTCTTAGTAAATCTACTATTTGAAAGGTAACCGTGGGAGACAATCTTTAGTGTAACCAGCGTTGCAAAACAAACATCTGTTCTTTATTTCAAATAATGTTAGCTACTTAAAAACATTCCTAAAAATGTAGGTGACTGTACAATTTGACAGGCAGTTGGCGATGAGACAACCATTAGATTTAGCCTTTTATAAACTAAACATTGCATGCGTGAGTGTTTGTTCTTGTACGAGTGGTTCACACCTACAGATTTTTCCGCTAGCGATAAATAAACACTGCTTTACATGACAAACAAGCGGCCATTATGTTATTTTATGGCGTACCCAGTTTGGGAACTAGGAAAGTGATAGTGATTGTCGAGTTTGGACGCGTTAGACATCACCAAACTGCATTCGTATTAGAATTTCCAAGTCATCTGTGTTTTTATAAAGCTTTTACTAGCTTCTTCCAGTAGTTTTGTCCGAATTGCTGGAAAAAAATGTAGCCTATATATCATCTATATATATAAATGAAACCCGTTTCCCGTTGTTACGCCATAACTTAAGAACGGCTAGATCGATTTGGCTGATTTTTTTGTTGTGTTTGTTATTGTCAGGAGAAGGTTCTTTGACAGAAAAAAAACCTGAAAATCTTACGGAAACGGGAGAAAACGGGATTGCGCGTACGAAGTCGTGGGCAGAAGCCAGTTTACATTATAGGTAGGAACAGGCATATCTCAGTACCTTTCATTTGAATACCTACATTCGGTAGTATTTATATGAAAGAGTAACTAACACATGTCACATACTCTCGCAATATTAATAGTCTGGCTTTTTGTCAATTTCGATGAATATGCTGTTTAAACTGTCAAACACCAAGCGGTCACCGGTGACCGCAACCTATTGTTCTATAATTGTGTCTACAAAACCGGTACTCGACGAGTTAAAATGACTTGGCTATCAGTAAAACCACAATATTTAAAAACAAAACCGCACGTTTAAATGTAAAGGTAATTATGGATATTTCGGAATATGTCATTGTCAGTAGTTTCATCACTTGGCTGCCACTGAGTAACGGGATTCAATCTATGAATCAAGCCTTCTATTATAAACTAGATACATAAGCACAACATTCATACAATAGACAATAATTAATTAATTTAAATAAATTCGTAATTTTAAAATACCTATTTTTATTGGATATAATGTGTACCAATTAGATACGAGTGAGTACCTATTTATGTCATTGGTTTTTGACATATCTGGTAAGACATGAAGGTAGTTCCTTCCATTTTGATATTATTTGGATGATTCTGAGCCATAATAGATTATTGCCTATATAAAGCCAGGTTAGGTTGGTCACATTGATAACTGGGTTGTTATTCTAAATACCGCAGGTGTTTCTTATATAGGTTTCTTCTATAAATATATAATATTTCAAAAAATAAGAATATCAGCAGAATGGGAAATAAACAAAATCCTTCGTGTAAAGTATTTCGGAACATTGAGGGATGTTTTGATAATTGAATTATTATTTAGGTTATCTTATCCTAACTTAAGTGTATGTGATTTTGTTACGTCTAACTACATTAAAATATGTCTATAACAATTAAAATTGTGTGTAGGTTACAGTCCTAAAAGATCAAGTAAGGACTTGTCTATCTAATTAACAATTTTCTGAGGAAATAGGGTCCTATCTAACCCCCGTATATATAACTAATTTTACTTAGGTATAGGTAGGCCTAAATACTAATCAAATTACAGCAAAACTAATTAAAATCCACATAGCACGCTAAATTAAAAGATAACAATCTTAAAATCAAATTAAAATTAACTTCAATTACGCTACGTACCAACTTAGACGGATCGCGCCATAATTTCCCGCCCTGTCAAAACTCAATTTGTCAAACCAAACATCGTAATGGCGGCCCTGGGGGTGTTCCATAGACAAGAACATATTTACCGATTAAAATAATTGGTATGATCGTTATTTTATAAACGTTAGGGTTTAAAATTGCTTGTAATTTGTTTTTCTAGGTGTGGAGATGGTTCGATAGGGAGATTAAATTGTGTAAATAGGGATTAGGCAGATAAGCTGTGTATTGTTTGAGAGTGACGTGTTGGCGCCTCGTTGGGAAACGGCTTAGAGTTCTGTGTGTGGCAGATTCGGGTCAAATCTGTTTTGTCTGAATTTAATCTTTTAGATAATTTCGAACATAAAAGAGATGGTGATACTGTAGGAATCCAACTAGAATACTTGATTAGTTGTAGATTGTGTTTTTTTTTCTACTCAAGTGGCTCATGGCGATGATGATCATACATAAAAACATTCTTTTAGTAAGTTTTAAAAAAGATAGATAGGTCTCCAATATATAAATTAATGTAGCATTGTAGGTTTTTATAAATATTTGGATATCTCCCGATTAGCTGGTTGGTCACAGGTACTTCCAATAGTTTGTAGTTCTACTTTGTTTGTCTTCCTTGTACCATTTTGGTTCTATGTTCGTTTGGTCTTGTTGCATTATTTTTTTTCTACAGACATGCCTACGACTGCTAATCACAAGGTTTAGGGTTCAATGACCGAATTTTTCGGAACATTGACTAATAAGTAGTTTTGGTCAGCTCACCACCAATCAAATAATGAGCTATTTTCTGATATTTGGTGTACCTACAGTGATATACTGCATAATTGCTTTATACCCATTTGTGATATTACCTAGAACAAATGATATAACTTAACATTGTATGATTGTTATTAATTGTTATTGTAAAAATTGGATCTATTTCCTAGATTAACATACTTTATTGTTCTGTACAGATCGAATTCATCAGGTAGCAGCATCAATTCCCCACTGGGGCCTTCCTGTGGGATGGCGGCCAACCCGTATGCGGTGCCGCTGTATGGCGGAGCCCCCGTCCAGGGCTACGGCTGCGCCCCGTCAGACCTGCCGCACTACGGAGACATGAGAGGCGCGGGCTGGTACCCTGCCTCTAACGACCCCAGGTTTGCCAGTGAGTCGGCGATGTTCTTTATAGCAATATTTGTTACTTGAACCACCTGTTTAACTACCCGATATTTAGATAACTTATTTACGAGAATCAGCCCTATTAGTTACGAAATACACCGGGGCTCCAACAAAGTATGCGTAAACATAATGTAATTTTGCAAATACTTGGCTGTACGGTTTTAAATTGTAACTAATTAGGATACTCACGTAACACACAATCATAGGTCTATCATGACTGGGAAAACTTTTAGGACTCTCCCTAAGTGCAGCTTAAAGGATAGGCAACAAGAAGACTGCCCGGTTGGTGCGGTGGCTGGGCAACCGGGTGCCGCGCAAGGTGTAGTGGGTTCGACTCCCGCACAGAGCAACTCTTTGAGTGATTCACAAATTGTGGTTCTGGGTCCGGAGGTCATGTGTATGTGAACTTGTATGTTTTTAAACGCAACCATGACACAGGAGGAACTCCTAGTGTGGGGCAACGAATTAAAAACACTTATTATTTAGTTGTACCTATGTAATTTGAAAACAACAATAAATTATTAATGTAAAAATAAGACATAGGTAGGTATAGTCTAGCCTGCGGCCTAGTGTTCTTCCTACTTTACGTATCTAACAACATTTTTGAACGCACCTACATTACATAATAATAACGTACCACATAAACAACTACCTTTGTACTTTAATTTTATGTATGTGTTGTCCTTTATATTGTATGTGTGTACATAAATAAATAAATAAATAATAAATAAACAACATATTTATAATAAATGACATATGTAATTCGTACTATTAACGCATTAAAATAAATTGACGTCAATCAAAATGGCGGGCGAGCGAGCATGCGCATAGCAAGGATCGTCGGCACGTGAACCGCGCCTCGAGTAACAAACGGCAATTTAATGTAACCCGACGCTTTTAGCTAATTCGGTATTTATTGGGGAACCGATACTGATGGCGTATCATCTCTTGAGTGGGGTTTCCTTATAGTAAGGTGTTTAGGAAACGTGATATTGCTATTTAGGTAACTATTAGTTGCTTTGGTACGCAGAAAGATATGTAAAGTTATATAGTTTCTTAAATGGGCTAACTTCTCTATAATTCATTGCAATCTGCGGTTTATTTGAATCACATAACATAACATTACGCCTTTTCATCCCCGAGAAATTATATATTAGGCAGAGGTGCACATTTCGGCACTTAATGCCACTGTACAATGTAATACCCAGTTTTCACTATTTATATTATGAGTCCCATGTAATAGGGGGTGAGCCTAGTGCCATATCATCATCATCATCATCAACAGCCGGAAGACGTCCACTGCTGGACAAAGGCCTCCCCCTTAGCCCTCCACGTCGAACGACAACTCGCCACCCGCATCCACTGGCTCCCCGCAACTCTGGCGATGTCGTCGGTCCACCTAGCGGGAGGCCTGCCCACGCTTCGTCTTCCGGTCCGTGGTCTCCACTCAAGGACTTTCCTGGCCCATCTGCCGTCAGTCCTTCGAGCGACGTGGCCTGCCCATTGCCACTTTAGTCTGCAGATTTTGCGAGCTATGTCGGTAACTCTTGTTCTTTGGCGAATTTCCATATTTCGGATTTTGTCGCGCAAAGAAACCCCGAGCATAGCTCTCTCCATCGCACGCTGAGCGACTTTGAGCTTCTCCAGAAGGCCAGAGGTCAGGGACCACGTCTCGGTACCATATGTCATCACCGGCAACACACACTGGTTGAACATCCTGGTCTTTAGGCACTGAGGGATTTTCGATGAGAAGATTTCGCGTAACTTCCCGAACGCTGCCCATCCAAGTTGGATTCTTCGGGCGACCTCTTTGTCGAAATTGGACCTACCTAGCTGTATAATCTGCCCTAAGTATGTATAGTGGTCTACAACTTCGAGGATATCGTTCCCAACGATGACCGGTACAGGTGCAACATGGACGTTTGACATGATTTTGGTCTTGTCCATGTTCATTTTAAGACCCACCTGTTGGGAGACGATATTGAGGTCGCTGAGCATGGTGTTCAGATCCTCCAGCGATTCCGCCATGATGACTACATCATCGGCGAAGCGGAGGTGTGTGATGTATTCGCCATTGATATTGATACCCAGTCCACTCCAGTTTAAAAGCTTGAAAACGTCCTCCAATGCGTTGGTGAACAGTTTCGGAGAAATCACGTCTCCCTGTCTCACGCCTTTCTGCAATTGGATTGGTTCCGTGCTATCTTCCTGGAGTCGGATGCGCATAGTGGCGTTTCTATACAAACACTTTAGCACCTCGATATATCTGTAGTCGATATGGCATCGCTGGAGAGACTGCAGCACCGCCCAGGTCTCGATCGAATCAAAGGCTTTTTCATAGTCCACGAACGCCAAGCATAGTGGCAAGTTATACTCCTCAGTCTTCTGTATAACTTGCCGCAGCGTATGAATGTGGTCTATGGTGCTAAAGCCTTTCCGGAACCCGGCTTGTTCGGGAGGCTGGAAGTCATCAAATCTGCGTTCGAGACGGTTCGTGATGACCCTAGAGAACAGCTTATATACATGGCTCAGAAGCGAGATGGGTCTATAGTTCTTCAACAAGGAGTTGTCACCCTTCTTAAAGAACAGAACCACTACACTCTCTTGCCATGCTTTCGGCGTAGCTCCTTCGAGAATGACGGAATTGAATAGTTTCTGGAGGACTAAAAGTATCGGTTTTCCACCCGCTCGCAGAAGTTCTGTTGTGATTCCGTCATCACCCGGTGCCTTGTTATTTTTGAGCTGTCTGAGAGCCATCCTAATCTCATACAGGCTGATGTCTGGGATATCCTCGGTATAGTGCCGTGTCAGTTTAGCTCTTGGATCCCGAGCTGTACCGACAATGGGTTGCCGTGTCGAGGTGTATAACTGTCCGTAGAACCTTTCAAGCTCTCTCAGAATCTCTGGCTTCGACGAAACGATGCTGCCATTTTCGGTCTTCAGTTTCGTCATTTGGCTTTGCCCAACCGACGAACTCCTTGCGAATACTTTTGCACCCTGATTTCGCTCTATGGCATCCCTGACTCGTGCGGCGTTATATGCACGCAGGTCGCGTCGCATAGACTTTGAAATTCGCCTATTAAGTTTGCCATATCCAGACATGTCAACTGAAGACTGCAGCCTCATCTCGTGACGGTCTTTCAATAATTTCAGTGTTTCTTTCGAGAGCTTTTGAGGTCTATTTCGGCGTGGGTTTTTGAAAAACTCTGAGCCCACCGCTTGGACAGTTTCCACTAACCCATTATTTAACTCGTCAATCGTTTCACACTCAGCCAGGCACTGGAAGCGATTATGCAGTTGGAGCTGGAACTGTTCGGGGTTCTGGACCTGGGCGCGACCAGGACGGAGTGTGGACCCCACCAGGCGTGACCTCTCCAGCTTGACATTGATATTCAGTGTGCCTCTGACAATACGGTGATCGCTGCCGGTTTTCACCTTAGCTATCACAGAGACATCACTAAATATGCGCTTGTCGGTCGCCATGATGAAGTCGATCTCATTTTTGGTGTAACCATCGGGGCTTATCCACGTCCACCTCTTAGCTGGTCGCTTTCGGAAGAAGGAGTTCATTAGAAAGAGTCTCTCCCTCTCCATAAAGTCGACCAGCCGCTGGCCCCGACGGTTTCGCTGCCCATACCCAAATGGCCCCATTCTCAGCTCTTCGCCGTTCCGTGTGCCCACCTTCGCGTTGAAATCCCCCATGACAACGGTGAAGTGAGCTTCGGAGGTGTGTATGGCTTGGGAAATTTCCTCATACAGAGCCTCTACTTCATCATCGCAGTGTGTCGAGGTCGGCGCATATACCTGTATGACCTTCAGCGAATACCGGTGTGATATTCTGAGTATAAGGTACGCTACCCTGCTCGACACACTGTCAACTTTACTCACGTTGTTGACGAGGGACTTGCGGACGAGAAATCCGACACCACCCTGGGATTTTTGATCTCCTTCCCGGAAGAAGAGCAAGTTGCCGGAATCCAGGACCATCGTATCCTGGCCCTCTCTTCGGATTTCAGACAGTCCCAAGATGTCCCAACGCATTTTGCTCAATTCTTCCTCCAGCTCGACAATCTTCTCATCGGTCCGCAGTGTGCGGATGTTATGTGTTGCCAGGGCCAAAGTTCGTCGGGGGTGGTAGCGGTTCATCTGCCGGGGATTCTTAGCACCCCCTGCTCCGCCGTTACCCGATCCGCTACCAAGATCAGGGATAGCGGAGCTGCCGGGGACTGGGGGCCGTGTATTTAGGTTGCCGTTCATAGTGAGGGGGGGGGGGTTTGCCATAATCCCCACGCTTGGCAGGCGGCTTGGGGATCGCAGTTAGGTCACCGATATATTTATGGAATGCTGCAGCCCATTCCTCGGTGTCTGGTCGCAGTTTTAGGACGTACCCGGGTCGAACTGTCGATTACTCATTAGTAGCCTATCTGATTACCGAAATAAAACTGTCTCAGATTGCGAGTTCGTTGAGCAAACACCATTACTGACGGTGACAAAAAAGCGAGCTACGTGCTTCGCCAGCTCGCCACCATCTTAACCTCAGATCAACCATAATTTGTGGCAGAGGCGTCAATGCATTAAAATATCAGTTTACCTTACTGCGGATCAATATGGCCGACGCGACGTAGAATTCGGAATTGTGTATTTGTAGGAAATGTCGAAATAACTTTTGTTGATTGTTGCGCGCGCTTTAATACTCACGGGAGTTTTAATGTTGTACATCAATTGGTCAGTTGTCTATGTTTTTATTACATAACAAACGCATTTTTAAACGCAAACCAATCTATCCTTTAGAACCCTCTAGAGACTAAAGTATGTTTCTGTACCAAAGTTTCACCACTAAGAAGCAAGTCATTTATGTATGTTCGTTTTACAATATAACAATTTTATGGTACTTATCTACATAGCAAGTAGTTTCTACTTATTACCAAAATTCATTAGACCTAGTCACGTGCCGAAAAAAAATCGTGTCTCCTCTATAATCTATGA